TTTGAGTACCAGGACTTGACCCTTGAGTACGATGTTTGCATTTGTGAGAGACGTAGAGTTTAGATAGATAGATAGATAGATAGATAGATAGATAGATAGATAGGTAGATAGATAGTGTTACAGCTGGTTCATACTATTTTACAATATATATATACAACATACATGGAGGCATTTTATTCACCTGAAATATACACCCTACAGATCAGGTCTTTTTCAGAGAGCAGAGTGTGGGAGCGGTGTATGGGGACCTCCACCTTATAGAGTGGATATGTCATAGGTGGAGGGCGTGAGTGGGCGGAGGTGGTGTGTGTGTGTGTGTGAGGGCGTGGGTGGGCGGGGATGGATGGTGTGTGTGTGTGTGTATGTGTGTGGGTGGGTGTGTGTGTGTGTTAGACGGGGTGGGGTGGAGAGGTGGGAAGGACTAGGAGTGAGAGGGCTGAGTGTGAGGTGATTGCAACATGTAGAGAGGTGAGTGAGAGGGATGAGTGAGAGGTGATTGCAACATGTAGAGAGGTGAGTGAGAGGGATGAGTGAGAGGTGATTGCAACATGTAGAGAGGTGAGTGAGAGGGCTGAGTGTGATAGTGGCTGAGAAAGTAAGGAATAAGGTGTGAAATGTGTGAGAGTAAATATGTACTTCTCCCACCCTTTTATCTCCACCATTATCTCCACCATTATCTCCACCATTATCTCCACCATTATCTCCACCATTATCCTCCACCATTATCCTCCACCATTATCTCCACCATTATCTCCACATTATCTCCACCATTATCCTCCACCATTATCTCCACCATTATCTCCACCATTATCCTCCACCATTATCTCCACCATTATCCTCCGCCATTATCTCCACCATTATCTCCACCATTATCCTCCACCATACCCCAATCCATGTCGGCAATAGCTAATGGGTCACTATTTTTTTTTCACCATCTCTATTTAAATCTCCTACACTATTACTCTCACCATCCCCAACACTTCACCACCACACACGCTCTCCCCATCCCCCAACACCGTCTCACCATCACCGTCTCACCATCCCCAACACCTCACCCACCACACCGTCTCACCACCACTATATCTCCATCATTTTACCTTCTACATCATTTTTATCTCCAACAATAACTTACTAATTTTTATTTCATCTTCTGTAACATCTCCCTTTGTACCACTGTACCATTGTACCGCTGAACCATTGTACCGCTGAACCATTGTACCGCTGAACCATTACCGCTGAACCATTGTACCCTGTACCATTGTACCGCTGAACCATTGTACCGCTGAACCATTGTACCGCTGAACCATTGTACCGCTGAACCATTGTACCACTGTAACGCTGTACCGCTGAACCATTGTACCGCTGAACCATTGTACCGCTGAACCATTGTACCGCTGAACCATTGTACCGCTGAACCATTGTACCACTGAACCATTGTACCGCTGAACCATTGTACCATTAAACATTTAACTATTAAACCACTGTACCACTAAACCACTGTACCACTAAACCACTGCACCACTAAACCACTGTACCACTAAACCACTGTACCACTAAACCACTGTACCACTAAACCACTGTACCACTAAACCACTGTCCACTAAACCACTGTACCACTAAACCACTGCACCACTAAACCACTGTACCACTAAACCACTGTACCACTAAACCACTGTACCACTAAACCACTGTACCACTAAACCACTGCCACTAAACCTGCACCACTAAACCACTGCACCACTAAACCACTGCCACTAAACTTGCCACTAAACCACTGCACCACTAAACCACTGTACCACTAAACCACTGCCACTAAACCACTGTACCACTAAACCCACTGCACCACTAAACCACTGCACCACTAAACCACTGTACCACTAAACCACTGCACCACTAAACCCCTGTCACTAAACCACTGTACCACTAAACCACTGCACCACTAAACCACTGTACCACTAAACCACTGTACCACTAAACCACTGCACCACTAAATCACTGCACCACTAAACCACTGTACCACTAAACCACTGTACCACTAAACCACTGCACCACTAAACCACTGTACCACTAAACCACTGTACCACTAAACCACTCACCACTAAACCACTGTACCACTAAACCACTGTACCACTAAACCACTGCACCATAAACCACTGCACCACTAAACCACTGTACCACTAAACCACTGTACCACTAAACCACTGCACCACTAAACCACTCTACCACTAACACTGCACCACTAAACCACTGTACCACTAAACCACTGTACCACTAAACCACTGTACCACTAAACCACTGTACCACTAAACCACTGCCACTAAACCACTGTACCACTAAACCACTACCACTAAACCACTGTACCACTAAACCACTGTACCACTAAACCACTGTACCACTAAACCACTGTACCACTAAACCACTGCACCACTAAACCCCTGCCACTAAACCACTGCACCACTAAACCACTGCACCACTAAACCACTGTACCACTAAACCACTGCACCACTAAACCCACTGTACCACTAAACCACTGCACCACTAAACCACTGTACCACTAAACCACTGCACCACTAAACCACTGCACCACTAAACCACTGTACCACTAAACCACTGTACCACTAAACCACTGCACCACTAAACCACTGTACCACTAAACCACTGCACCACTAAACCACTGTACCACTAAACCACTGCACCACTAACCCTGCACCACTAAAACCACTGTACCACTAAACCACTGCACCACTAAACCTGTACCACTAAACCACTGTACCACTAAACCACTGCACCACTAAACCACTGTACCACTAAACCACTGTACCACTAAACCACTGTACCACTAAACCACTGCCACTAAACCACTGTACCCCTAAACCACCCCACTAAACCACTGCACACAACTGACCACTAAACCACTGTACCACTAAACCACTGCACCACTAAACCACTGTACCACTAAACCACTGTACCACTAAACCATGCACCACTAAACCACTGCACCACTAAACCACTGTACCACTAAACCACTGTACCACTAAACCACCACTAATGCTGTACCACTAAACCACTGCACCACTAAACCACATACCACTAAACCACTGTACCACTAAACCACTGTACCACTAAACCACTGTACCACTAAACCACTGTACCACTAAACACTGTACCACTAAACCACTGCCACTAAACCACTGTACCACTAAACCACTGTACCACTAAACCACTGTACCACAACCACTGTACCACTAAACCACTGCCACTAAACCACTGCACCACTAAACCACTGCACCACTAAACCACTGCACCACTAAACCACTGTACCACTAACCACCACTAAACCACTGTACCACTAAACCACTGCACCACTAAACCTGTACCACTAAACCACAATGCTACCACTAAACCACTGTACCACTAAACCACTGTACCACTAAACCACTGTACCACTAACCACTGTACCACTAAACCACTGCCACTAAACCACTGCCACTAACCACTGTACCACTAAACCACTGTACATGCCACTAAACCACTGCACCACTAAACCACCCTAACCATCCACTAAACCACTGTCCACTAAACCACTGCACACTAAACCACTGCACCACTAACCACTACCACTAAACCACTGTACCACTAAACCCTGCACCACTAAACCACACCACCCTAAACCACTGTACCACTATACCACTGTACCACCTAAACCACTGTACCACTAAACCACTGTACCACTAAACCACTGTACCACTAAACCTGCACCACTAAACCACTGTACCACTAAACACTGTACCCTAAACCACTGTACCACTAAACCACTGTACCACTAAACCACTGTACCACTAAACCACTGTACCACTAAACCACTGTACCACTAAACCACTGCACCACTAAACCACTGCACCACTAAACCACTGCACCACTAAACCACTGTACCACTAAACCACTGCACCACTAAACCACTGCACCACTAAACCCTCACCACTAAACCACTGTACCACTATACCACTGTACCACTAAACCACTGTACCACTAAACCACTGTACCACTATACCACTGTACACTAAACCACTGCACCACTAAACCACTGTACCACTAAACCACTGTACCACTAAACCACTGTACCACTAAACCACTGTACCACTAAACCACTGTACCACTAAACACTGTACCATAAACCACTGTACCACCTAAACCACCATCACTAAACCACTGCACCACTAAACCACTGTACCACTAAACCACTGCACCACTAAACCACCATAAACCACTGTACCACTAACCACTGTACCACTAAACCACTGTACCACTAAACCACTGTACCACTAAGCCACTGCCACTGAACCACTGCACCTAAACCACTTACCCTAATGTACCATTAAACCACTTACTAAACCACTGCACCACTGAACCACTGTACCACTAAACCATGTACCACTAAACCACTGTACCATAAACCACTGTACCACTAAACCACTGCACCACTGAACACTGCCACTAAACTACTAAACCACTGTACCACTAAACCACTGTACCACTAAGCCACTGCACCACTGAACCACTACCACTAGTACCACTAAACCCTGTACCACTATACCACACCACTGTACCACTAAACCACTGTACCACTAAACCACTGTACCACTAAACCACTGCACCACTAAACCACTGCACCACTAAACCACTGTACCACTAAGCTACTGCACCACTGAACCACTGTACCACTAAACCACTGTACCATTAAACCACTGCACCACTGCACCATGACCATTAAACCACTGCACCACTGCCACTGAACCACTGCACCACTAAACCACTGCACCACTGCACCACTAAACCACTGTACCACTGCACCACTCAACCACTACACCACTAAATCACTGTACCACTAAACCACTAAACCACTGCACCACTGAACCACTGCACCACTAAACCACTGCACCACTGCACCACTGAACCACTGCACCACTGTACCATTAACCCCCGTACCATCTCCATTACAGTTGTACCGTCACGCCTGGTGGTACTGGACCAGAACAACAGACCTGTACCGGGAGGCTTACTGGGTCCACTGAACGAGGGAGAACCACTCACTCTCTTCTGTGTCGCCACGGGAGGTGAGTGAGTGGTGGTGAGTGAGTGGTGGTGGTGGTGACTGAGTGGTGGTGGTGAAGTGAGTGGAGAAGAGAGAGAGTGGTGTTACCTTTGCTGAGACTTCATTAGGTAGAAAGAGAGATGAAAGAGGAAAATGGTGGTGGTGGTGGTGAGTGATGAAGTGAGTGAGAGAGAGAGAGAGTGGTGTTACCTTTGCTGAGACTTCATTAGGTAGAAAGAGAGAGAATGAAGAGAAATGAGAGTGAGTGGTGGTGAGTGAGTGAGTAGTGAGTGAGAGAGAGTGGAACTGGCTCTCTCTCTTGTTCGAGTAATGAGTAAGTGGATGGATATGAGTAAAGGTGGGAATCAGTGACGTCTTGTTCCCATGAATAGGTGAGTATGAGTAGGTGAGTAGAGGTGAGTAGGTGAATAGAGGTGAGCAGGTGAATAGAGGTGAGTATGAGTAGGTGAATAGAGGTGAGTAGGTGAGTAGAGGTGAGTAGGTGAGTATGGTTGAGTAGGTGAGTAAAGGTGAATAAACCTCAGATTCACTTGTTATATTCTCACGAGTAACCAGGTAACGGTAGCCAATAGGAAGAACACATTGGCGACTAATTAACTCCCACTCAGGTAAGTTTACAGGTAACCTCGTTATGGTGGATCTGACTTTTTTTGACCTCGTTATGGTGGATCCTAGACTTTATTCCCAGCTGACCTCGTTATGGTGGATCCTAGACTTTATTCCCAGCTGACCTCGTTATAGTGGATCCTAGACTATATTAATTTCCGACCTCTTTATAGTAGACTATATTCTAGTTGACCTCGTTATAGTAGAATAGACCAGCTGACCTCATTATAGTAAATCCTAATGACCTCCAAATGTCTACATGACCTCCAGCTGACCCCATGACCTCTCTACCACAGGTCGCCCAGCTCCTCGGGTCACATGGTGGAGGGGGACGACCTTACTAGCCAACAACAGCCATATCCTGGGTCACGACGGGTCACTCAGCCGCCCCGCCACCCACGTCCCTAGTGTAACCTCGGGTATGGGCGTGGGCGTGGGCGTGAGTATGCCACAAAGTGAGGACAGAGGTGAGCATCCGGGGCTGAATAGAAAGTTCGTCCACGCTAACCTCACCTGTCGCGCCACCAACAACAACATTACCAGGCCGCTGTCCACCACCCTCGCCCTCATCCTCTACCGTGAGTACTGTCTCTCTGTCTGTCTGTCTGTCTGTCTGTCTGTCTCTTTTTCTGTCTGTCTGTCTGTCTGTCTGTCTGTCTGTCTGTTTTGTTTTTCTTTCTTTCAGTTTTGTATCGCCGGACAACGTGTTTCTGTAGATAGATAGATAGAGAGATAGATAGATAGATAGATAGATAGATAGATAGATAGATAGATAGATAGATAGATAGATAGATAGATAGATAGATAAATAGATAGATAGATAGATAGATAGATAGATAGATAGATAGATAGATAGATATTCCCAACATAAGGACATCAGTTCACAGTGTGTGTGTGTGATGAAACCTAAGAGTGAATCAGTCTTACTTTCATACGACTCCCCCTCCCTCTCTCTCTCTCTCTCTCCCTCCTCTCCTGCTTCCCTCTCCTCTTCCCCTCTCTTCCTCTCCTCTCCTCTCTCTCCTCTCCCTCTCCCTCTCAGTACATAGGTCACAGAGATTAATATCTGTCAGCGTGGGAGAGTTGATGGTCTTGAAGCCTGGAATTGACACCTGCTGGGAGGTGGAGGTGAGTGAGTGGAGTGAGGTGATGGTGGTGAGGTGGTAGTAGGAGTGGTGGTGGTGAGGTGGGGTGAGTGAGGGAGTGGTGAGTGAGGTAGTGGTGAGTGGTGGGTGAGTGAGGGTGAGGTGGTGAGGTGAGGTGAGTGGTGAGTGAGGTGGGGTGAGAATGAGGTGGTGGTGAGTGAGGTGGGGTGAGGTGAGGAGAGGAGGTGAAACGTGGGGAGTGAGGTGGGGGCGAGGTTTGGTGAGAGTGGTGGTGAGTGGGGTGGAGAGTGGGGTGGGGAGATGAGCTGAGGAGGAGGTGAGGCTGAGGAGAGGTGAGGTGGGAGGTGAGGTGAGGGAGAATGAGCTGAGGAGGAGGTGAGCTGAGGAGGAGGTGGAGAGTGAGGTGAGGTGAGCTGAGGAGGAGGTGAGCTGAGGAGGGAGGTGAGGTGGGAGGTGAGCTGAGGAGGAGAATGAGCTGAGGAGGAGGTGAGCTGAGGAGGTGAGCTGAGGAGGAGGTGAGCTGAGGAGGTGGGCTGAGGAGGGAGGTGAGCTGAGAGGGAGGTGGGCTGAGGAGAGAGGTGGATGGGGAGGGAGGTGGGCTGAGGAGGATGAGCTGAGGAGGTGAGCTGAGGAGAGGTGAGGAGGTGAGGAGGTGAGCTGAGGAGGTGAGCTGAGAGGAGGTGAGGCTGAGGAGGAGTGAGCTGAGGAGGAGGAGTGAGCTGAGAGGAGTGAGGTGAGAGGGAGATGGGTATAATATAATAAGGGGACCTTTGGCTCTCTCTCTTCTCTCTCTCTCTCTCTCTCTCTCTCTCTCTGTCAACTCATTTTATACGCACTAATTGGCTCGCCCTATGGCAATATTCGTCTTGTCTGAAACAATTAATAATCTGTTTTATATTTTTGACGAGTATACAAAAATATTTAATCTTTTTATCTGTTTCAAAATGGAAGAAAATAATATTATGATTTGTTTTAGACTGTCGTGACGTATTGATAGATAGATAGATAGATAGATAAATAGATATATTGATAGATAGATAGATAGATAGATAGATAGATAGATAGATAGATAGATAGATAGATAGATAGAAATACAGAAAAATACAGGAGACAAATAATACATAAAATATTGTTGATATCCTTGAAAGTTAAAAGATAAATACAGGAGCAATACAAAATACATAAAACTGTAGTGAAAATTAGGCAGTGGACAGAGAGGCGCCTTTACCACAACACAAAAACTTTACCCTCGGTTTAAGGTTGACCTTGATTCCTTCACTCACCCTTCCTCAACCCCTTCACACTCACCCTTCACACCTCCTTCCACTCACCCTTCACACTCACCCTTCCTCACCCTTCACACTCACCCTTCAAACTCACCCTTCACACTCACCCTTCACACTCAACCTTCACACTCACCCCCACCTCACCCTTCACACTCACCCTTCACCTCACCCTCCACACACTCACCTTCACCTCACCCCTCCACCTCCCCTTCCTCCCCTTCCCTCCCTTCACACTCACCCTTCACCTCCCCTTCCACACTCACCCTTCCACTCACCCTTCACACTCACCCTTCACACTCCCCTTCACACTCACCCTTCACACTCACCTTCCACTCACCTTCCACCTCACCCTTCCACACTCACCCTTCAAACTTACCCCTTCACCTCACCCTTCACACCTCACCCTTCACTCTCCCTTCACTCATACCTCACCCTTCACACTCACCCTTCACCTCACCCTTCCTCACCCTTCACACTCACCCTTCACACACCCCTTCCCCTCACCCCTCCCTCCCCACCTTCCCTCACCTTCCCCACTCATGTCAGCCTAAAGTTTGATCTAAGTTGATCTTGTAGTTGTATTTTTTTGTGGGGTTTGAAGTTCGTAGGGTGGATTGACACACACACACACACACACACACACACACACACACACACACACACACACAGCAGGTATACAAACAATGGTAAACAGAAAGTCGACTCAACCAGGGGCAGTCTACCATAACTAACCCTTGCTTATTAACATTAGTTCACACGAGTAAGAAAAAATAAATTACTGAGAGATTGTCTTTATGATTCGAGAGAGAAAGAGAGAGAAGACGAGAGAATCTGAGAGAGTATAAGAGAAGAAGGACTCTCTTATCTCTCCCTCATCTTCTCCTTCTCTCTCACTCTTATATAACTAGAAGTTTTCTCAACTAATTTTTCCTGGCTACCGACATATCTCTCTCTCTCTCTCTCTCTCTCTCTCTCTCTCTCTCTCTCCTCTCTCTCTCTCTCTCTCTCTCTCTCTCTCTCTCTCTCTCTCTCTCTCTCTCTCTCTCTCGTGGCCAATCAAAGGTCTGGTGCAGTAATTATCAACTTTATTCCTCAGCCGACTTGTGCCTCGTCCCCCGCCTTTGAGACGCTCCCGGGACAAACTTTTACTCCTCTTAGTTTTAGCCTCCCCTTCCTGACGGTTCGTTTTCCTTGACTCGTACCCTACAACCACGTATTTTTTTTCCCCCTCCATATTTCTCTAATTATTTTTCCTGACGTAACGTTTAGGTCGTGGTTTAACAGCGAGAATGATAATGATAAGACTGATAACATGAATAAAGATTGTGTAGCGTTTGGTGATGATTTAACAGTGAAAATAATGGTAGTGATATGACTGATAACATTATTAAAAGCATGTATATAGGCTTGACTGACTGGGTACAATTCTTGGGCACAGGGAAAGTCGCTACCAAGTTAACATTTATCATAGAATAAAACCAGATTTAACATTTATGTGATATATTTGTACATTTAACAAGCTTAAGGTATATAATATTTTAACATAAAGTTCTGAATGTATGTTTGTGTGTTGTTTATATACCATCTGAATAATGACCACCGTAATAGAAACGTAGCCTAACCTAACATAACCTAACCTAACCAAACCTAACCAAACTCCTAGGTAGTATTAGGGTGTTTAATCTTCAGGTGATCCTTAACTTATGCACCCAGACCAGCAATACTCCGCATCACTCTAGAGGCTCTTTCCATTATAACTCCTACGCCATCTTACAGTCACTCCGCCCAACTCCTGTACTAATTGACTGATCCAACTTACACTCACAGACACCACTACTGTTGTCTATGTTGGTCGGGGTAGTTATAAGGCTCCATCTTAACCCGGGTGAAGTATTAGACTTGGGGTCCTTTAAAGTCGAAAGCCATTAGGATGAGAAACCATTTTGGAGTCACTCGTCATAGATTGGGTGTGTGACGCCTAGTGGCCGGGTTGTAAACATCTATTTTTTATGGTCGCGGGAAGAGCGTCAGCTGTATTTTGATTGGTAAAACTCCAACTTTTCTTAGAAGCTGATTGGCTGATTTTACTGCTCTTGAGGAAAGTTGGTCCCTAAAATCTGATGACTCTGTAGGGGCGGTGCGGATACAGCTTCACGACTGGGTGGGCCGGGAGATCCACACTGTATCCACTGTATCCATTGTATCCATTTTGCTGCAAGAATTTACGTGAATAATATAAACGTGTGACTTTTCTCTTTACTATATAGAAAAACCTCATGTAGCTGAAGGTAGTTCTCTGATGATGAAGGAGACTTATGCAATATGTTGAAGAAATAAGATAATTACTTATTTAACATTCCCTTGTTGAATTACTTATATTATGATTCATTTCTTTATTTTAACCTACCAGCGTCATTCATCGTCTCCATTACCAAACTTAAATAATGATGTAGTAACCTTAACCCAATTAATTCTTAACTAATCTTTTTTTTTCTATTCTCGACTTTTTACAGAAACATTTCATCATAGATTCATTTTAGTTGCAATACAGAATTAATGAAATCGTGTTACATGGTTTGTTGTCATGGGCAATAAGCGTTCATTCACCAAGTCATGATTGGTTGGTTGTCAAGTAAATACACAAACATTCAGCCAATAGCATATGGTGTTTATTGTTCTCATTAAATTACTCAATAGATGTGTCAGTTACCAATAGACTGCTTTGTGATGGTGTAAAAACATTTATTTATAGTGAAATTTAACAAATCCAAGTTTATAAATATTAACCTGTTTATTTTTTTATTAAAGTAAATAAGTAATAATTATGTAAATGTTTCTATCTTTTTGTAACCTTATAGATTAATTCGTCAAATTCTTAAACCCAGGAGTTACCTTGATAACAATTTCTCGACATGTCCCCTGATAAATAATTTGACTGATAACTGATGGAAAGTGATAAGAAAATTTAATTACAATCTAGTGCCGCATCTTTCCCTCCACGTGTGAGAGGGAAAGAGTTGTTAAGCACACACACACACACACACACACACACACACGGAGTTCTGTCTGCCGTGACTGCACTTGAGTGAGGTGCCTAATAATGCTGGGTGGTGGTGGGTTTTTTCAGCGTTGTGATTTTGACCTTTGACCTTCGAAAAATATAGGGCTAAACCATAGTTCTCAAAGGGTTAAACCATCGTCGTCAAAGGGTTAAACCATCGTCGTCAAAGGGTTAAACCATCGTCGTCAAAGGGTTAAACCATCGTCGTCAAAGGGTTAAACCATCGTCGTCAACGGATTAAATTTGATCATATTCAATAATTACGCACATTTCCGTAAACTTCCTTTAATCTGTTTTATTCCATTGTCATTTTCTCTTCAGTACGGCCAACCTCAGTCAAGATCCGGACACCAGAGTCATCGTTGGTGGCGGGACAGCAGACGAGGCTAGAGTGTGTGGCCGAGGGCGCCTACCCTGCCGCCACCATCACCTGGACCCTCACGCCCACACACGGCGGCCCCCCTACCACACTACCCTCCTCCGTGAGTACATGGGCGCAGAGGGAGGGAAGGGAGAGAGGGTGTCAGGGAATGGAGGGAGGGAGTCAGGGAAACGAGAGAGAGGGTGTCAGGGAAGGGATGGAGTCAAGGAAGGGAGAGAGGGTGTCAGGGAAGGAAGGGAGGGAGGGTGTCAGGGAAGGGAGGAAGGGATGGAGTCAAGGAAGGGAGAGAGGGTGTCAGGGAAGGAAGGGAGGGAGGGTGTCAGGGAAGGGAGGAAGGGATGGAGTCAAGGAAGGGAGAGAGGGTGTCAGGGAAGGTATTGGAGTGGGAGGGAGAGGGGTGTCAGGGAAGGGAGAGGAGAGAGAGGGGGAGTCTGTCAGGAAGGAGGAGGGGGTTAAGGGAGAGGGTCAGGGAAGGGAGGAGGTCAGGGGAAGGAGAGAGTGTCAGGGGAAGAAGGAGTTAAGGGAGAGAGGAGGGTTGAAGGGAGGGTTAAGTGTTTGACCTTTATTTTTTTATTTTTTATTAATAGTGAGACATCCGTTTATAACACACACACACACACACACCCACACACACACACACACACACACACACACACACACACACACACACACACACACGAGGAGGTGGAAAGCGTGGTGAACGTGCCTAACCTGCAGTGAGGCGGAAGGTGAGGTGGTGGAGTAGCCTTGAGGAGTGAGCAGCAGAGGCCAGGAACGAGGAAGGGAGTCAGGATGATAGGTAGAAGGGTGGGAAAGGGAGGGAGAATTTGATAGGGAGAGAGGGAGGATGGTTAAATAAGTGAAACAGACAGATAGACAGACAGACAGACAGCAAATCTATATCATAATCGAGACAGTGAAAGACTTACAGACAAATAAAGAGATAGACAGAGAGACACACCATATCTCTTATCATGGTCTCCCCTCAGTGGCGTCACCTGGGAGAGAAGACCTCCTCGTTTGTCCGCATTGTACCTGACGCAGAGGACCACAAGGCGACACTCACCTGCAGCGCTCACAACCCCAACATCTCTGACCCTGGACTCACTACCTCCATCACCATACATGTCCTCTGTGAGTACCTACGCTTGTTTGAGTTCTTCTGTGAGTACCTACGCTTGTTTGAGTTCTGTCTATGAGTACTTCCACCATCATACATGTCCTCTGTGAGTACCTACTTTTGTCTAGCTCTGTTTGTGAGTACTTCCACCTATCTGCGAGTATACCCACTCTGAGTACTTTTGTCGGACTCAAGATGTCTTTAAAGGCATCTACACATTAAAATACCATCTATCTATTTAGATATCTATGTCTATTTTTATCTATCTATCTATCTATCAATCTATCTATCTGTCTATATCTATATCTATCTATCTAGCTATCCATCTATCTATGATCAACTGTAAAGGGGATCTACTGCAGGAAGCTTCTAGTCTCTAATTCTCAAACGTTCGTAAACGCTGAATCCTCCTGGTAAGTTGCAGGAGAACGCATCAGATTAACTCACAAACCACAACACCAAAACATAATATCCAAAATGTCGTCATTATTACACTAAAACTCTTATCTTAACTTGTGAATCCGAGTCTTGGAGATTTATAACACCTCTGGCTCACTTTAGACAATTGTAAAAGAAAATAAAACCTTGGTGATTTACTCCAGGTCATCTGTAAACCATGGTAAAACACGGGGAAATTTGTAGTTTTCGGTTATTTACACGGTAGCCAAGGTTCCTCCTCTCCCCCTCTTCGCCCCTGCAGACCGAGCCGTCAGGACAGACCTCTTATTGAAAATCTTTATATCCCGACTATCGTTTTCAGATAAGGACCATGAATATTCAGACGGTAAGTATTATTACCCTTTACCGGTTCAACTCATGGGATTAAATCGTTGCTATATCCGGGTTACGTGATAGTGTTATATATTGGTGACGATTATATATCAGTCTTATATAATATTCATGGTTTAAGAGTGTTGTAAAATTTATGATGGACAAGTTACATTAGACCCTGGACATGAAGCTGGTCGTTGATTGGCTAGCTGGATAAATCCCTCAACGCCATTGGTCCTCTGCCTCCTCCTCGGATACCTCCTTCTCCACCTTATTCTTCTATTCCTCTTTCTTCATTTTCCTTCTCTTATTCCTCTTCCGCCAATCCTCTTCACCTCCTTCCATCTTTCCTAATTTTTCTTACCGAATCTTTTCCTTTATTATCCTCCTCTTCCTCCTCCTTCTCCTCCCCCTCTTCCTCCTTTCCTGTTACTTGGATTATTATTATTCTTTTCCATTACACTTCTTATTGTCGCCCTTCCATCTACTTACGTCTTCCATCCTCCCCTCCTTCCTTCTCTCTCTCTCTCTAATTGCTGTGTTAATTAAGCATTAATCATTACATACCTGCTAGTATGATTTTTACACACCTGCTAGTATGACTTACACACCCGCTAGTATGGCTTTTACACACCTGCTAGTATGACATTTACACACCCGCTAGTATGACATTTACATACCTGCTAGTATGATTTTTACACACCCGCAACCCCATATATATAACATTAACATACCTGCTGCCCACACCTAGTTACATGTCATTTACATACCTGCTACCTCATCCTAAACACACCTACTACCTCATTTACACATCTGATACCTCATCATAAACACACCTGCTACTTCATTTGCACACCTGCTTCCTCATTATTTACACACCTGCTAGCACTTCTCCCTCTGTGAAATGATCCGCCAATATATATCTCCTGATGGTGACTCTGATGGTGATCTATTGTGATCGTGGTGACCTCTGACCCCATTACCTGATATATTTCCAGGCATTGACCCTATCCTGATGAATTTCATTCTTCTCCTTGACCTAATTAACCTATTGGTGGTGACCTTATTTAACCTTGGTCATGATCTTATTTAATCTTGTGTGGTGACCTTATTTAACCTTGATGATGACCTTAATTTACCTTGGTGATGACCTTAATTAACCATAGTAATGACCTTAATTAACCTTGATGATGACCTTAATTAACCATAGTAATGACCTTGTTTAACCTTGTGTGTCTCGCCCTGGTGAGGTCAGTCGCGCCGCGGGTGAGGTTGGAGCTGGGAGCCAACCTGGGGTCACAACCTATCACCGAGGGCAAGGATGTCTACTTCGAGTGTGAGGTCTCCGCCAACCCAGTCGCCAGGGACATCGTGTGGCTGAAGGACGTGAGTATGAGGGTGAGGGAGGGAGGTTGGGTGAGGGAGAGAGGTCAGGGAGGTTAGGGGTGGGAAGAGGGTGAGGGAGGGAGATTGGGTGAGGGAGAGAGGTCAGGGAGGGGAAGAGGGTGAGGAAGGGAGGTTGAGAGAGAGAAAAGGGCGATAGAGGGAGGAACGTAGAACTGTGGGGTGAGAGGGAGAGTGAGGGAGGGAAGACGAACAGAGGGAAAGGCGGAGAGAGAGTGAGGGAGGAAAGACGTGAATATGGGGGAAGGAGAGGAAGAGAGGGAGGGAAGAGAAAAAAGAAATAGAGAGAGGAAGGAAAAGAGAGGGGAAGGGTAAGGTCCCCTCCAACCTCCTTCTCCTCCGTTGTTCTGGAGGAAGAATTGTGAGTTTGAAGAGGAAGGATGAGAGAGTCAGAGGATGGAGGAAGTGAGGAACGTGAGAACATGGTGAAGGAAGGCAGAGAGAGAGAGAGAGAGAGAGAGAGAGAGAGAGAGAGAGAGAGAGAGAGAGATCAACATTATTATTGAGATAGAATGGTGAGCAGATGGTGGTAGTAGTAATGGTAGTGATGCTGGTGGTCAGTAGTAATGATGGTAGTGTTTAGTAGTGGTGGTGGTGGTGGTGGTAGTAGTGGTGATGATGGTGATGAAGGTGATGAAGGTAGTAGTAGTGATGTGTGATGATGGTGGCGGTGATAGTGATGATGGTGGTAGTAGTGATGGTGGCAGACACGGTTGGTAGAATAACCTGAATCGATTGTCCCCTCCAGATGATATGTGACGCAGGGAGAGTGAGAGGCTGACAGGGAGAATAAGGGATTGGTAGGGAGAGTATGGATGGGAGATTAACGGGGAGGGTAGAGAGGGAGAGGGAGTGTGTGTGTGTGTGTGTGTGTGTGTGTGTGTGTGTGTGTGAGACTGATAGAGTGTTAGGCTGACAGAGGAGAAGGGGTGACTGACAGACAAGGAATAAAAGAGATTGAGAGTAAAAGAAAGTAAGAGAAAGGAATGATATGAAAGGATGAGAAGAGAGAGAAGAGAGAGAGAGAGCGAGAGAGAGAGGAGAGAGAGAGAGAGAGAGAGAGAGAGAGAGAGAGAGAGAGAGAGAGAGAGAGATTCAAAGTTACTTCAACAATCATCTCATACAGACTGCAAACAAAACCTAAAGCAAGTAATTACTACCCACGTCCCCTCCTACACACACACACGCACACACACACACACACACACACACACACACACACACACACACACACACACACACACACACACACACACACACACACATCATTTCAATCTGTATCTCAACTCTGACCTTACAAAATCTGAAACTGGGACACTACAATGTTACAAAATCTCTGTAATCGTTTTAGAAAGAGTGGGAGAGAGGGACAGAGAAGCGATGAAAGTGAGAGGGGGAGCAGGGAGAGAGAGGGAGGAAGAGAAAGGAGGGAGGAGAATGGAGAGAGAGAAAGGAAGAGAGGGATTCACTTTCAAATCCAAACCGGAGCAATGGAAGAAAGAAATTATCTCTACTTGATCGGGTAATGATTAGAGTGGGAGGGAAACGTGTAGTCGAGAGAGAGAGAGAGAGAGAGAGAGAGAGAGAGAGAGAGTTGAGTTTTATGTCTCCTTCAAGAGTAGAAGAACTCCAGAAGTCTTTATTTACTTACAGAAACTACAAAACTATCCTCAGTGTGGTCCCCTCTCTGAGCTGCGAGGTCTTGGAGGTAGAAGTCAGTTGGGAGGTCAAAAGAGGTCAGGATATAAGGTCAGAGTTGGGAGGTCACGGAATTAAAGGCCAGCTAGGAGGTTAGGGAGGAGTCAGCTGGAGGTCAAAGTTTGGAGGCCAGAGAGACAAAGATCAGTGCTGTAGAGGCCATTGAGGTAAATGTCAAAGCTAAAGAGGAGGTCATGGAGACAAAGGTCAACCCGCCAAAAATAAAGTTATAGGTCACAGAAAGTTGAGGGAAACAAACACGCCCCAGACGATGGTTTTCTCAGCAGTGAAAAAAGTTTACACATACAAGTCCGGTAAACCTTCAGTGGGGTGGAGTTCCCAGAGGCGCCCAACTTAGGGTATCTTTTTTCCCTGAGTGTTTTGACTAATGAACGTGAACCACAACTCTATTTATTTGTTTTGGGAAATACTATTGCTGTCGGGGCTCCTAAGTTTCATATTGTTTTGTTTGTTTTTATCTTAGTAAATAGCTTTTTCTATGGCCATTTCGTTCGCTTTGGTCAACATGAACGCGAACCCAAGTCATTTTATTTATTTATTTGGAAACGATGTTGCCGTCAGAGTATTTCAGGGTTTTTTGCTTGTTTTCCTCTAGGTAAATAGCTTTTTTTATTTCCATTTCACTCGCTTTGGTCAACATATCATTCGTAAAACGTAAAATAAATCGTCTATTGCAGTCGGTAAAGGGAATGACTGGGAGCGTATGGTGGGAAAATACCGTAATAAAGTAAACAAACCTGCTATCGCTATTCATTTGTTTCATAAGTAATACGATAAACATATACTATTGATCTTCGTTTATAGGATCCAATACTAATGCTTAGGTTACATTTAGCTAGGTTGGGGAACCATTAGGACTGGGGCCTATTTAGGACTGAATTTGATAAGCTGTGGAGTCCTTTGAGATTGAATTACATTATCTCTGGAGCCTATTAGGATTTGATTCCATTAGCTCTGATGCCCTTTACCTATTAGAATTGATTGGTGTGTTGAACAGACTGTGAGAAAGATAGAAACAGAATGAGAGACACATAGAGCAAGATATAGAGGGAATGAGAGATATAGAAATAAAGTCAGCAACACTAACAACCCAGATAAAGAGAGAGAGGTAGAGCGGGAGATAGAGATAGATGGAGGAATGAGAGATAGAGAGATGAAACGTATACCACTATAACCCAGATAAAGAAAGAAATAGAGCGAGAGACAGAAACAGAGAGAGAGAGAGAGAGCTCCACCACTAACACTCCTCGACCAACAGGGCGAGCGCGTCAACAACCAGAGGAAGGCCGGGGTGTTGATATCCGGTAACAACCTTGTGCTACAGATGGTACGGAGAACTTCAGCTGGTAACTACACCTGCTCAGCCAGCAACAGCCAAGGCTCCACCACCAGCAACACCGTCCAGCTCAGCATAAGGTGTAAGTATCCTCCTATGGGTGTAGTTAGGTGTACTATAAATGTCAGAATTCCTATATTTTCGATTCGTTTTTTTTTCTTCCTTCTAAATGCAATCTTGTACAAATAATAATAATATATACGTTTGTTGGGAGATATTTTGATGACCTTAGGACTAGAGAGGTCAAAGGTCAGTTGTTAGTTATCCGTGTGTTGATATTTTAATACGGGATTACGTATTCGTCTTTTGAGTTCGTATTTTTCTTCCCGTTTTCATTGTGTTTTTTTTAACCTTCAGGGGAAACTATGAGATTTGGAAAGTTATCATGGCAACAGTATATATATTTTGGTGTTATTTCTCGTCAATATAAACTTTGTGATTTATATATTTACATCCACGGTAATTATTCTTGAGCTGTCGATTATTGCATTATCAATTATTCTGTTATGAGAGTCACACACACACACACACACACACACACACACACACACACACACACACATGCAAATAATACTACATTATTATTAATATATTTGTGTACCATTGCGAAATATAGGTAAGATACTGCCTCTCCCTGGGCCGTGGAGAGAGATTTAAATGTACACTTTCTGGGCCGTAGTGTTTTGTGGTTGTATACAGTGTTCCCTCGGGTGTATGTTGTATGAAAATTTTACAACTGTCGTTTGTTATGTGTACAGGTGTAGAGAGAGAGAACCGAGATGTGTAGCAAATGTATTGATATGATACATACATACATACATACATACATACATACATACATACATACATACATAATGGTTGCCCCTCGTGTAACAAGGATGGCCGGCCCAAGAGCCGCCTAGGCATGTATTTGTTTAAGATGTAGAAGCTGTCGACAACACAACAACCACTGCCTAAGTTAACGAGCTGCATGACCCAGTGTCAAGGAATAGTCCGAGAAGACCGGACAACTCGTCAACTGCACTGGCTAACCATTACCCCGTAATACGATCCGTAAATCGATTAACATCCAGGTCCCCAATTACTGCTGGGTAGGCAGAGGCAAATGGCGTAAAGAAACTTGCCCATAGTTTCACCCTACCCGGGGATCGAACTCGGGTCCACTCTCTTGCGAGGCGAGGATGCTGACCATTTAAGACATACATACATAGACGGAGAAGAAGAGAGACAGAGAGAAAGGAAAGTGAATATGTAGAATATACATAAAAATGAGAGAGTTCACAGGCTGTTCATCTTACCCAGTGCTAGAAGGGCCTACACCCATGTGTTTATCGGTTCCAGCTGCCGGAGATTCTTCCCAACCGCTCTTCATCATTTCCTTCCCCCCTCCTTCTTCCCCCACTCCTTCTCCTCCCCCACTCCTCCTCCTCCCCCACTCCTCCACTCCCCCTACTCCTCCCCCCCCCTCTCCTCCTCCCTCCCCCTACTCTCCCCCCCCTCCTCCTCCCCCCCACTCCTCCTCCTCCCCTCCCTCTCCCCCACTCCTGCTCCTCCTCCTCCTCGTCACCTCCGTATAAGGTTACATGTCGCTGCGGGTCGCCTCTAAAGGTTAGAGATTATCCAAGCGAGGCTTTTGGTTATTGGGTCTCCACCAGCTGTGGTAGAGACCAGTTGTGTCAGAGACCAGCTGTGTCAGAGACCAGCTGTGTCAGAGGCCAGCTGTGTCAGAGGCCAGCAGTGTCAGAGACCAGTTGTGTCGAAGACCATCCAACAGGTCTGGCGAGCATTATAGAATCCTACATTGGCAGGTCTGGTGGCTACAAGGAAATATGGCCTTACCAAACCTATGGAACCGATACACAAGTAGGTCTGGGAGGCAGAGTGGAGTAGGGTACCCCACTCTGCCTCCCAGACCTGCTTGTGTATCGGTTCCATAGGCTTGATAATGCCCTACTCCCTTGTGGTCACCAGACCTGCCTCTGTAGGGCTCTATAGACGCACCAGACCTGCCTCTGTAGGGTTCTATAGACTCACCAGACCTGCCTCTGTAGGGCTCTATAGACTCACCAGACCTGCCTCTGTAGGGTTCTATAGACTCACCAGACCTGCCTCTGTAGGGTTCTGTAGACGCACCAGACCTGCCTCTGTAGGGCTCTATAGACTCACCCAGACCTGCCTCCTGTAGGGCTATAGACGCACCAGACCTGCCTCAGTAGGGGTTGCCTCTGTGAGGGCTCTATGGAGCTCACCAGACCTGCCTCTGTGAGGGTCTGTACTCTATAGACTCACCAGACCCTGCCTCTGTAGGGCTCTATAGACTCACCAGACCTGCCTCTGTAGGGCTCTATAGACTCACCAGACCTGCCTCTGTAGGGCTCTATAGACTCACCAGACCTGCCTCTGTAGGGGTTCTATAGACTCACCAGACCTGCCTCTGTAGAGGTCCTATAGACCTCACCAGACCTGCCTGCCTCTGTAGGGGACTCACCAGACCTAGACTCACCAGACCTGCACTGTAGGGCTCTATATAGACTCACCAGACCTGCCTCTGTGGGGCTCTATAGACTCAGGCCTGCCTCTGTAGGGCTCTATAGACACCCCACCAGACCTGCCTCTGTAAGGGCTCTATGGAGCTCACAGACCTGCCTCTGTAGGGCTCTATAGACTCACCAGACCTGCCTCTGTAGGGCTCTATAGACTCACCAGACCTGCCTCTGTAGGGCTCTATAGACTCACCAGACCTGCCTCTGTAGGGTTCTATAGACGCACCAGACCTGCATAAGTAAAATAAACATAGCCTCACTAACACTTCACTCCCCCATGACCGCCAGACCTGCCCGTGTGTGAGGAGGGGCCGCAGACGGTGGCTGTGGCGGAGGGGGAGAACACTCGCCTCTCTTGCCGTGTGGACGCCCAGCCTGACGACGATCTCTCCTTCACCTGGGTCTTCAACAACACCCTGGATACGGTGGAGGTAGAGCAAGAGACCTTCACCGTCCTCCCAGGCCTCAGCATACTCGATTATACCCCCAGGTAAGATAAATATAACCGTAAGTATACCTCTGAACTGAACGCCGAATGTACCTCTGAACTGAACGCCGAATATACCTCTGAACTGAACGCTGAAAACACAATCGTAGTCCCAAATGGTTTTCTGCTCTCTATAAATTATTGTTAAACCCATAAACACGAGAATTACATATGTTTGATAAATGTGTTACGGTAGAGAATATTTATATAGGAAGTTAGTTATTATCAAACATACCCCCTGTATATATAGATAGATATGTGGGTACGACAATTGTTAATTCATGTACGATAGGAAAAACATCAGAGGGGATTCACCTTTTCTTTTTTTTCATCAGTTGATCCTTTTTCAACAAATTACTAAAAGCAAACGGCTCAAATTTCTAAATATATTTTCCCATCTATAATAAATATGGCCTCAAATTATATTTATTTAATCCTATTTGTATTTCAGTCTGTAATTACGTAGGTTCAGGTCCCAGCTAGAGTTTATATAATGTATGCTGTGTTTTACGTTATTTCCACTATTCATCCGTGTCGTCTAGACCAGCTATAGATTATTTACCCTCTAGTCTACTATTGTCTTATTTAAGCTATTGGATATATGTTGTTTAGTTTACATGTATCCTAAAGTATACATAATATAAACTAGGCTTTGACTTTGTTTGTCATTATCATTTATATGTAACTGTTGTGACTCGTGTGTTTTCTTCGTTGATGGACTCTTAATGCGTTTAATCCACCGAGCTCACGTGTTTACTAACTCGCCTTTAAACTAACCCAGATTAATCAGGATAAATTTAGCTTAGTTTAACTGTAGAAGCACCGGTAATTCAGCCCAACGTTGCTGGGTTTTCTGTATCGTAGCTGAAGCGTATAGCGTAGCACAGTACCCACGGCGCCTAACTTAACCTAGCCATAGCCTAATTAGATGTGCTCCTTCATGGATGGTTGCAGAAGTTGGTCATTACGCTAAGTTAAAAAGTTTTGACTTTATTTATCAGCCAGAGAGGGAACTTTTCCTTTCACAAGAGGTTTCCATTCACGGCTTCCGAGAACTACGGGGAGTAATTAGTGTTTTAAGTGTATGCTCGGGGCGACACCTTTCTCATATGTGGGGGAATTTCCCTATAATGTATAGCCCCTATAGACGATACGTCTGCCGGATCCGTCCGCCAGAATCCTAAGTAAAACCGATCGCTGCATATCATATACTTCTAGAGAAGCTTAAAGAAAAGGATGAAACTGCCACCAGAGATACTGTTGCCCCCCAAAAATTAACAACCTTAGGAGCACCAACCGCAAAGAACTGAAACAAGTTGAAGTATCCAAAAAATCAGGAGCTGTCGCTGAGGATATTTACACTCCCGTACTCTGGTACTGTGATCTGTTACATTTTATAAGGGACCAAGAGCTGACTAGGCCCTATGTTCCAATATATTTATGAGATAGTTCATTCCTTTTCATCAGCCACTGTTTCACCCACTTCCTTCTCTTTGGTGTCTCCATTTCTGCTACAGCGTAAACCGCAGCAGCAGCTCCTAGCGCTAAGAAAGTCAGATCTTCGAGCGAAGAGGCCATGTCTGCACAGTATAACAGCCTGGCAAGACTGAAGCTCGCCGCAACAGGCCGCCGGAAAGTCTGTGGGCGACTCTTTTTGGGGGGCAGGACGGAGCCGGAACCAACGGTCCTACGGCCTATGGGGGGGCTTATACGACCATGCTGCTGTTGTTGTTGTTGTTATTATTATTATTATTATTATTATTATTATTATTATTATTATTATTATTATTATTATTATTATTATTATTATTATTATTATTATTATTTTATCTAAATCGAACAAGAAGTCGTAACTTAACCAATTCTAAACAGTAAACGCTCATTATAACTCGTCTTTGCTATAAATAAAATGCATCTATAAACGAAATTTCACTGATTCATCCACTATTTCTTTAACCATCGGACGCTAAATATTTGACGGACGGACGGACAGACGGACGTAGGCAACGCTATACAGTATTTTAATATATTCGTAGAGCGAAAATAGAATCTACGAAGTGTGAATTGGATCAGCGAATATCACATCTATATAAACTAAAGACCGACTTTTATAAGCTGGTGGGTAGGTCGTGTATGCAAAACAGCGGCGCCTCCGATATTTGACGACATAACGTGATAACTTATGTGGGCGCATTACCATATCTCTGTGGTAAAGCTCTACTCTCCTCACAATATGAACACCAGTCACTGTTATTTTATGGCTGACCATTATACACCCAGATTAATTTTTGTGAATTTATTGCTGTGTAAATTTGTATGTTTAAAATTTTACATTATTTTGAAGATTTGTTCATATTGATAGAAACACGTAATGAAGTTTGTTGTATTGGTTGTGTAAGATGTTTAAATATACACTAACACCCCCAAGCAGATGTTCCAGTAACACATTATGTTTACCCCGTGACCTCTGACCCAGGTCACCGCGGGACTACGGAACGCTCTCCTGCTGGGCGACCAACGATGTGGGCACCCAGGCCGACCCCTGCAAGTTCACCGTCGTCGAGGCCGGTAAGAGTGAAGCCTGGATCCATAGGGGGGTTAGTTATGGGTGGTTGTAGTAAACAGGTAGTGAGACCCATAACTTGTGTGTCCAGTCAATAACTTTTCTCCATTCCTTACGTTTGTGTCACCTGAACTATCAAGATAATAGTCATATTGAATCAATATATAAACAGTATAATAAACAAGGGGATGTGTTGTGGCAGGACTGTGGTGCTAGTGAAGGTCACCAGATGGAGCCTATGTTGTTACAGACCTTTTAGTTATTTGTACATGTGACCATATTGATAAATTAAAGGTGAAAGTAAACAGCTGAACATCTCCCTGAAGCTGTCATCTCAGAGAACATTGGTAAGTTAAAAATAATACTCCGTCACCTCCTGCAGGTCCCCCCGAGCGTGTGGGCAACTGTGTGCTGGTGAACCTGACGGTGGGGAGCCTGGAGGTGGGGTGCACGCCAGGGAACGACGGAGGGCTGCCACAAAGGTTCGTGGCGCGGGTGTACGCCGCCCCCACCCACGCCCTTCTGGCCACCCTAGAGGAGGACACCCCTAGGTTTCATGTGGGGGGGTTGACCCCCGGGCAGGACTACCTCATCACCATCACTGCCGTCAACGCTAAGGGCACCAGCCCGCCAGAGGAGATAGATGCCGTCCGTTTGAAGGTCAGTCTGTGGCACCTGAATTATCCTCCTCCATCTGTGAACCCCACGTGTACTGGAGCGGCGGCCATCAGTGTCCGTCACCTGTTACTATCGCCTCCCAGCCACACTGTATCCTTATTATTACGTCACAATACAAACTGTTAACAGCGAAACAATCAACTCTGTAAAGGTCGACTCTTAAAGAACCTGAGTGATAGTTGAAAGTCTAGATTTGATATAAAAAGCCTTTTGGCGTTAACGTCTTAGCCCATATTCGTCTATTGAAAAAGAATAACGAGCGAGAGTTACCAAAAGCTAAGTCATCGCGGCCAGGTTAAAAAGATCACTCAGTAAACAAGTCACTCAGTCACTTAAAATTAATAGCTGTTGACTGGTCTTGTTGCAGCTCAAACCATGGGTGACAATGTTAGGTTTATTTCGTAAAATTTTGCAGTCGATAAAGAAGAAAATATCAAAATATAAATAAATTAGAAAAATACATTAAAAAGAATATAATTAAATATATAAAATCTGAATATATTCCCAAAAAATAAACATGGCAACATAACCCTGCAAAAAGCTCGCCAACGCCACCCAGTGTTAATTAGATTCCGAAAACAATACAAAATTCCCGTCAAACCGCCGATGGGAATTTTTGGGGTAATTTCATCGACTAATTTGTGAATGGGGGCCTGGCATTCCTCCGCCCTGTCTTTGATATTCTCTCTCTCTCTCTCTCTCTCTCTCTCTCTCTCTCTCTCTCTCTCTCTCTCTGAAACATTAGCCTCATATCCAGACTCACTCTCGTGCCTCCGACCTTCCTCCACCCCTTCAGAACTCTCAACAAATTTCCCTCTACGTTTAATACTTTCCCTCGGAACTGGAGCATAAAAAATTCCCACGAGCCAAGGTAACGTCTCAGGGCGATTCTGGTGACATTTTCTCTCACCTCTCCCTTTTTTAGTCGGGTTTAATTGAAGTAGTTAGATGCGTTCTCTCGTCTCCAGGAAGGGGGAAGGGGGAGGGGGGAATTTTTAACTTACGACCCGTTGAGAATCCGACCCACTGATAAGACTGGTACTGTGGTTAGTTGGGTTAAGTTGGTGAATGGCTGGAGATCTGAAACACTTTTTGCTTACCTAATTATTTTTTCCTCTGACCTACAAACGCTTTAGTGATGTTTTGTTTTGTGTGTGTGTGTGTGTGTGTGTGTGTGTGTGTGTGTGTGAATGTATGTTTTTATTTAGTTTGTGTTGGGGAATTTATGTGTGTGTATCTGTGTTTAGTGTGTGTATGTATATACATTAGTTATGTGAGTGTAAATATCTGTGTGTGTGGGGAGGGTATTTATGATGTGTGTGTGTGTGTGTGTGTGTGTGTGTGTGTGTGTGTGTGTGTGTGTGTGGCTCACCATTTAATAGGTTTTTTGCTCAATGACAATTTCTTTCTCTTCATTTTCTCATTATCACTATTTTTATCAAATAATTTCTTTGGCATGTCGCTATTATTCACTTCCCTCATCTTTATCTGTTTTCGTCTCTTTATGTACAAACTATTCTCATTTCATTCTTCATCCCCCCCATTTCTCCTTTTCTCCTCCTCCCTTCTTCTTCTTCCCCTCCTTCTTCCTCCTCTTCTTCATTATTATTTACACAAGATCATTTCCTATCGCTCTCACGAAAACAATGTCGGGAAACAAACACACTGGGAGATGGCCGTCATATTTCTGCCTCGCCACAATGTTTTGACGAGTCCCTCACCGTATTCAGAGGAAGTGGTTGGAAATACGGCCTCGTACCCTCATCCCCGGCGGCTCCAAGCACGGGGAAGCGGGTCACTCTCGAGTCAAGTTACAACTCTAATGATGGCGGCAAGAATATTGAAGAAAAACAGGTAGGGTCACTTTGAGTTCCTGATGAGTTCTGGGTGTGTTGGAGGAGTGTTTTGTTGTGTGTTGTGGGAGTGTTGTGTTGTGATAGTGTTGTGGGAGTGTTGTGGTTTGTGTTGTGGGAGTGTTGTGTTTTGTGTTGTGGGAGTGTTGTGTGTTGTGTGAGTGTTGTGTTGTGTGTTGTGGGAGTGTTGTGTTGTATGTTGTGGGAGTGTTGTGTGTTGTGGGAGTGTTGTGTTGTGGGTGTGTTGTGTTGTATGTTGAGGGGGACAGGTAAGGTTATCCGTTATCTCACATAGAAACTGTTATAATATTGTGTGCTTGAAGACCTAAGCCATTGAGACACATTAATAGGCATACAATATAGCCCCGCCACACTTCGCCTGGAACAAATTGCGCTTCTAACTCAGTGGCGAAGGTAAACAGACGTGGCTATCAGTCGTGTGTGTACAGCCATTGCTAGTTTCCGTATCTGCTGGAGCTCTCAAGGTCTTTTGGGGGGGGGATTATTTATGTTTATTTTGCCCTCGAATTGCCTTCATGGTGACCGCTTGAGGTTGAGATGTGATCATGGAGCCTTCATATATTATACCATCCCGTTCATGTCAGTTTGGTATTCTCAAGAGCATGTCAGTTTTATATATACCCCCTACACGACCTCGAGTGACTTAGAATTAGTCATAGTTGGATATACGAGCATTGAACCGACTTAATGGTACCAAAAAATAAAAATAAATGAGTTGACATCATTGGTTTACACTGATTGACGATGTGGTTACAATTTTATATATATTTGTACACGAGGAAACAGGACAACAGCTGTACATTACGACCCACGAACATTATTATTTATACCGTTCACAAATCCGAGTGTAAAATGTCAATAATCGTTATTTTGGATATTTTTTTTTTCGATGTGTATGTAAAGGAATAAAGAAATGTATTTATATTAGTTTGTGTGAGTATTCAGAGTGTGATTTCTAGCGCCAACCAGACAACACGTACACTTGAGTTTATCCTTCAAGAATAGTGACGAGATTCATGAATTATATAGTAACTCGTCTCATTATATTAACACATATTACAGGTCGTGGGCAAAAACACTGTAAATATTTATAATAACCCCCGTGATCTTTAAATCTCTCGGGGTTAAAAAAATTATTTAGTGAAACAGGTCGAGGTTGAGCTCTGACGTCGTGTGTCATTGTCGCTGTTATTATCCTCTTTAAGGTGGCGGCCAACACTGCGTCGGTAAATCACACACCAAGCACAGCAGACTTAAGCACAGCAGACTTAAGCACAACAGACTTAAGCACAGCAGACTTAAGCACAGCAGACTTCAGAAAAACCCCAAACACAAAACGCAGAATAACATAACCAAAAAAAAATTAAATCCACAGAAAAAAAAAATAGCTATAAAATATACAGACATATTTTAACGACGGGGATAAATTAGAGAAAAAAATAATCAAACGATACTTAGATAAAAAAATAAAAAAAATAAAATGAACTCATTAGCATAACTCCAAAAGACATTACTGTATATATCTTAACGATGCCAAATACCTGAGAGAGAGAAAAAAATCCAGTTTGTAACTTATTCTCGGAAAGTGTAATTGAAGTTGGAATTTATACAAATACTGAACATGTTAACAGGGTCATTTATACGTGTTTTACTGGAAGAAAATTGTGAATGGTGGAATTCTTTTTGTTATATGTTACACTGGGACGTTAACGATCGCATTTTGGCTTGTAATTGTGCAAAAAATTTGGCCTTGGATCTAAACTTACACACCAATCATCACAAAGCGCCCGTTAGCCGTGTTATATGATTGGTTGGAACTCGTGACGTAATGATTGTGGTGTAGGCTATGAGAACCTAACCTAACCTAACCAAATTTAAACCATACAAAACCCAAACTAAACCTAAACAAATTGCATCTCTCTCTCTCTCTCTCTCTCTCTCTCTCTCTCTCTCTCTCTCTCTCTCTCTCTCTCTCTCTCTCTCTCATTTCGTGTTGTGTTTTAATTCTTCTGTCTCTCACTATTGTCTCTCATCTCTCACCATCATCTCTCACTCCTACAGGTGGCAGAGAAGCGTATGGGAGACGTCAGCCCGCCGCCCGTGTCGCCGCTGGTGGGCGTGTTCCTGGGGCTGGTGGGCGGCTTTGTCCTCCTCCTGCTGGCGGGCGTGGTGTTAACCCGCGCCAGGTCCAACAGGTACTACATCCCACGCCTTCCCACGCCACCCACGCCCACAGATTAAACATATCCATCCATGCCTTCACTCATGAATACACACACACATACATAGAATGGCATGGTTGAGTATTTTAACACACACACACACACACACACACACACACACACACACACACACACACACACACACACACACACACACACACACACACACACACACACACACACACACACACACACACACACACACACACACACACACACGCACACACAATCTCATCACCATTTTTGTTTGCATTCGTTATATTATTAGTAGTATTAGTAGTAGCATATACTTAAATAATATTGAGGAAATTATGGCCTAATGAATCCTAGTCCGCCCCGTGTCTGTCCAGTCGTCTCTCTCACTTATAACACTAAATAGCGCCGTGAAAATGAAGTCACTTTTACCTGGCTAAAATATTTTTTTTTTTTAGTGACAAAAATATATAAAGTGTTTTTGTTCTTTTTATTGTTCGGCAACAAACTAGATTGCTGATTAGCATTTAACTGGCAGGCGCTCACCTATTTTACATGACGTGTATGTCTCTCTCTCTCTCCCTCTCTCTCATTCATAGACACACTCAAAACGCCTGTCTTATTCTCTCTCTCTCCCGTAGGTGTCGCTGCTGGGGTCACAGGGCAGGGGAAGGGGGCGTGGTGACCTCTGGTAGCAGTTCCTCCCCACCCACCACCACGCCCTCGTCAGCCCATACCCTTACGCACACCCACACCCACGCCCTCCACCACGACGAGGGGGAGAGAACCGCGCCCGATGTGCTCAGGACGATCAATGGTAATATCGCTAACACCATCGCTATCACCATGGCTATATAACACACTATCTTAAAACCACCCCTTAGCACTGTAACACCAACACTTAGCACCATAACACACTGCTAACACCAACACTTAGCACCATAACACACTGTAACACCAACACTTAACACCATAACACTACTAACACCAATACTTAACACCATAACACTACTAACATCAATACTTAACACCATAACACACTGCTAACATCAACACTTAACACCATAACACTACTAGCACCAATACTTAGCACCATAACACACTGTAACACCAACACTTAACACCATAACACTACTAACATCAATACTTAACACCATAACACACTGCTAACACCAACACTTAGCACCATAACACTACTAGCACCATTACTTAACACCATAACACACTGCTAACACCAACACTTAGCACCATAACACTACTAGCACCATTACTTAACACCATAACACACTGCTAACACCAACACTTAGCACCATAACACCCTAACACACGCTCATAGCACAGTATCTGATATACAAATAGAATAATAATTTTTCTATGTTCATTTTCATCGTCATTTGTTTTGTATTCATCAAGTCTCGTATTTTTTTCTTTTATTATCGAATTTCTTGAATATTTTTGCAATTTATTAATGTTAAACACTATGTCCTTTTTCTTTCCGTGGGATAACACTGTCTTTCCCAGAAACAGCTGAGCTCTTGGACACGCAAATATGTCCGGAAATCATACCAGCGCGTGTCCCACCGCCGCCCTACTCCCGCTCTCAGGTATGGCTTAAGTATAGTAAGGTGGCGTGTCCTAAATCCTATGTCCTAATACCTGTGTGGTAGGATTAGTGCCGGGTTCTATACCATGTCCACGACCCCTCAGTCCTTTGTATACCCATGTCCAATGTTTGTTTGTTTTAACCCTCCGTATGGGCATATCGTCCATTTCCACACTGAGCCATGTCCCTGACGTGTCCCAGAGCTACCACCCATGTCCCTCACGTGTCCCAGAGCTACCACCCATGTCCCTCACGTGTCCCAGAGCTACCACCCATGTCCCTCACGTGTCCCAGAGCTACCACCCATGTCTCTCGCGTGTCCCAGAGCTACCACCCATGTCCCTCGCGTGTCCCAGAGCTACGTGTCCCACCCACCATGTCTCTCGCGTGTCCCAGAGCTACCACCCATGTCCCTTCCATGTCCTAAAGCTACCACCCATGTCCCTCGCGTGTCCCAAAGCTACCACCCACACCCACGCCCTCCACCACCTAAAGCTAAACTACCCCCGCCCCCATAGGAACGACTTCGGCTCTGATACTGTCCCCAGGGTGAAGGAATTATATATACACCTTGCGTGCTACACCCTGCGGCAGGAAGGTCCTCTCGTGCCCTCCATCAGAGCGGCGGCAGCACCTCCTAGGGTCTTCCTGCTGCGTCATTTTGGTGGGAGTGAAGGAGGAGGTGGTAGCGAATATTTTTGAGATGGTTCATATTGTAATTGGCCCCGTGTGTGTACTAAGGCCATGGGGGTAACACTCTCTCTCTCTCTCTCTCTCTCTCTCTCTCTCTCTCTCTCTCTCTCATACAAATCAGTCCTAATGTATTGAACTCTACTAAAAAAATAATTAAGATCCACTACAGTTCATTGCTTTTATGAGCGACATTGGTATCACATGAAGGTTAACCCCCTAGCTTATATCACCTGGGGGTTCTAGGTTAGGTTAGCTTAGGTTAGGTTAGGTTAGCTTAAATGGGGGGATGTTAGGGTTAGGGAAGGTTAGGTTAGATTTGGTAATGTTAGGTTAGGTTAGGTTAGGTTAGGGAAGGGAAGGTTAGAATAGGTTAAGTTAGCTGTAGGTTGTTTGATCATAAAGTGAAGTAAGTTTGGAGGACTTATCTTCACGTGATCCGGAAAGTTTGTGACGAGTAATGTTGAGTGTTTTACATACAAGCATGAAGCGCTAGGCAGATCCTAATTGTCAGGGGAATATTGGCATTAGCTTTGATTTCCATTAATGGCGAATATAATATGGTAATGTTTGTTTTCAGCCAAGCATAATCGATTTCACATCATCAGTCTCAAGTTGAAATCTGTCCAATAAACAGTCAAATCCAGTTTAGAGTCAGTTCCCTGCTACATTTAACGTTAGTTTTGGTTTGTTTCTTTATGAAGTAATAATTCCTCATATGTGAATCTCGCTGTAGGAGTTAGCAACACATCTCAGTAATTATCGCGCCAGGCAGAGGTGAGGTGTGAGAGCATCAGAGCAGCCGCCCGCCTGGCCTGGGTCACACTATGTTGTTTTGCATATTAATGTTGTTAATTAATACGTGATTTTAGATTGATTGATCACTGGCTGCCTCATGCTCTTCACTTTATTTTACGATACTGTCTTTATGTGTGTGTAAAATATATCAGCATCTATGTCTGTTTGTCGATGGATTAATCACATCACGTATGTAAACCAAACTGTTGTATTTAAGTGATCTATACTGTAGAGAGTTAATTGTTTGGGAGTGAGGGGCGAGAGGCAGCAGGTGGAGTCAGGTTAAGTGTTTGATGTTGCAGACAGTACTGAGGGAGTCGTTGAAGGTGTCACCCCTATCTGCTGCTGCCGCCGCTGCTGCTGCTGGTGGTAGCGGCGGCGGGGCAGGACGCGCCCTTTACCGGGACACAGGCAGTCCCCTCCACCTCCTCCACGACGAGAGCTTCGTGTAGGCGTGGCCCCCCGCCCTCACGCCCACCACCACGCCCACCTCCACGCCACCAGTGTTTTATCCAGCCTGAAGATGACCTGAGGCGCTGAGGGTGTGAGTATGACGACAACTCCTACAGGAGATAAAAGGTTAAGCCATATAGTTCCTGCCTCTCACTTAAACAACAAAGATGAAGATTAAAAGGTAAACGTCACCACTTTCATGGCCGAGGTAACATGAGGAATTATTCTGTACATAACTCAAGTATTTCCAAGTGTCTTGTGTACATGAGAGAGTCTTAAGTGGTGTAGAGAGTTTTTACAAGCTTTACCCTCGCTGTCAGTGTAGTGACACCATACATACAGTCAGGCAAAGGCACTCATGATCACATTCTCCTGACCCAAAACTTCGAGCCAACTTTGTCGAGCTAAACCCACCTAATCTAATCTAACCTTATCAGTAGAAGTAACACCCATTAAAACTGCGGTTAGATTAAGTTAGGTTAATTTATCATTGCCAATAGGATATTTAATCATCAGGTAACATAAATCTATAGGTGTTAATCTTCACATAACCCGTTTCTAAAGTCAACCCGGAACTAACCATGACCTCACCCCTTACCTCTTTTGATTTTTAACCTCCCACAGGGACGAGGTGGAGTCTGTGGCGCGGGATAAGCGTGTGCGCGCCTGTACAGGACGTCGTCAGTAAAGGAGGACCTCAACGTGGGTCAGGTGTTGATCTTCCTCGAGGGGCTGTACCTGGCCCTTATCACCACCCACACGACACCCACGCCCCCCACCAGTGTCCCAGAGAGTGAGTGAGGGGGGTGGGGGGAGGGGGGGTATTGAGGAGTAGTGAGGGAAGGAGGAGAGGCATTGAGGAGTAGTGAGGGAAGAGAAATAGATGGAGGAGAGGAGATAAGGAGAAAAAAATTAATGACATGGAAGAGAAAAGAGACACAGAGAAGAGAGAAGTAGAGAAGAGAGAGGGAGAAGAGAAGAGAGAGGGGGGAGAAAAAAGAAAGGGAGTAGAGAAGGGAAAGGGAGAAGGGAAAGGGAGTAGAGAAGGGAGAGGGGGAGAGAAGAGAGAGGGAGAAGAGAAGAGAGAGGGGGTAGAGAAGAGAGAGGGGGGTAGAGAATGACACACGTGAGGGAAAACAATCGAAGAAAGAGAGGAAAAGCAAAAGGCCCTAAGCTATCATGTTCAGGCCCTTAGCTGTCATGTTCAGGCCCTAAGCTATCATGCTAAGCCCTTAGCTGTCATGTTAAGGCGCCAAGCTATCATGTTCAGGGCCAAAGCTATCATGTTCAGCCCCAAGCTATCATGTTCAGGCCCCAAGCTATCATGTTCAAGCCCAAAAATATCATGTTCAGGACCTAAGCTATCATGTACAGGATCTAAGCTATCATGTCCATACCCTAAGCAATCAAGTACAGGCCTTAAGCTGTCATGTACAGGCCCTAAGCTATCATGTTCAGGCCCTATCATGTTCAGGATCTATGCTGTGTTGTCACCACCTGCACAGCTCAACAAAAAAAGTCTCATGATTTTTTTTTTCAGATATTTTTTTTCAGAAACCCGACCCAAGATGAAGCGCAAAACCACATATAATGACAAGGAGAACTCTAGCAAGAAACACCTAATTTCATACCACATCACAGTATATACAAATATCTTTATATATACTGTATATTCAATGGAAACTTTAGAAGAAAAATGTTATAAGTTATTGTGTACAAGATAAGGATTAAGTCCCAGGATGTCACTGTAAACAAACTTATTGGCTGTTTATTGGAAGTGGATATGCAGGCGAGACAGACGGAGACTTGTACAGGCTGTAGGATATGTAAACAAGATCATCCAGAGCCATCCTGCATATGATAAATTCAGATGTAAGAAGTTAACTATGAACTGTGTCTTCAAGTGTCTGTTTATATTGTACAGCGTTACCAAGAATGTAAACAGTGTCATACTAAGTCACTCCAGAGGTATAAATAAGGTCATCTTAGGTCAGCGACTCAAAGACTATGTTGTAGACCCGACAGAGCTGTGATATGGCGCCGTCCATGCTAGGAGTCGTCCTACATATGACTGATAATTTTGTTAATGAGCCTTACCTGGCCACTCACCGGGTGTTGACGTGAGTGTAGGCTCAGCTCACCTCACGACACAGAGACCACATTCATGCTCGTGTTGCTAATGCCTTAAATTTCTTGAGGAAGAAATTAACCGCATACTGTACTGTACATTCATATGTTACAGAACATTGTTTTAGTATTATAATTGCTGAAAAGAGCTTGAATTGTGACTATTTTGCCCCAGGACTATTTCAACCAAGCCATTCTAGTACCTCTCAACGATAGTACGTCACTGTCGTAATTCATTATAAAACTACCAACAGGAAGTCTCTAACGGAAGAATACTGTCCATATAATTTAAAGTTTGGTAGTGGATATTTGATGCCATGAAAATCTTATAGAACTGTAAAATTGTGTGAGAGTCAGCGGCCAGATTTTCATAAGAAAGACCACACAACCTTATGATTTTTCATGACACGAACCAAACAAATTTAACCTATTTTAACCTGAACTACCCCAGGATCAGTAGGTTAGCTTCATACCATCTATTTAACAACTGGTCTAGCTCATCTGTTTCTGGTATTTTTCCAACATTGGCTGTCCTGCTCACAAGAGAGGGAGGAGCAAAACGAACATGTCATCACAAGTGTCTCTGAGTCGAATGATACATACTGTAGAAACTTATGGAGAATATTGATCATGTAAGTAGCTGGAAGGAGTCACAGATAATCTACCCTTGTCCCTCAGCTGTAGGGAAAGACTTACATACCAAATCATGTCTTCGAAAACTTAATGAAACTATGAACCTAATTTATGGTATGTACAACTTATTCTTTGTACGAGATTCAAACTGTATAAATAAAAATATTATAAAGTGAACACATATATGACTGTAAATAGTTACATGTGCCAGATGAAATGGTCTTAATGTTTTTGTTTTTCTTTGTACATAAGTGACTTGTCATATGTGTCAGTATGGTGACTGTCATATGGTGAGGTGAGGTCAGGTGTGGTGGTTGAGGCACAGTAGGGGGTGGTGTGTATATATTGCTTGATGTTACACCTGACTTTTGTATCCCTGAAGATGTAATGAAATACAGACCAAAACTCTTGAAGTGCCTTGTCCATTTCCCTCTTAATATCCAGCATAATGTTGTTATTTTCCCCTGTGGTGTTATTTTACCCTTCAGTGTCCGGCAACAATGGAGTGTATAAATTTAAGAATGGAAGATTGTTATAGTCAAAGGGCTTGAGAGTGATTATGTCCAACACAAAATTATTGATAAGTGGCGTGGGTGAGGGACCCATGGTGGAAAGTGGAAAATGGTAGTGTGTTGTGTGGAAGGCGTGTACATAAAAGGTACAGTGGTATAAATGACAGATTACAAGATGTTGTTGACTTGTAACTGTTCTGTGTGCAGGTAATCATGTGGACTCTATAAGGCTGGAGAAACTTAACATTGGGGATATATCCCTTGACTATATCGATGAGTTCTGCCAGGTAGCAGATAGTAGGCAGCTATCGAACAGGGAGGTACTACCGCCTGGGGAGATATTGGAAGTAATTAATGTGTTGTCTACTGGCATATGGCATATGGCATATGACATATGGCATCACAAATATTGTGACCAAGTCCCAGGTTGCTGATCTGACTTTCTGCCTCATTTACACACAATTGCAGGGTCTCAATTGTTTTTCTTATATACTTTGACAACACAACATACAGTATATTTTTTTTTCTCTTTTGGTCTGATTTATTTTTCTTTTAATTTATTAATTTATTGTGTCAGTTGACAATATTAAGTCGTGGCCTTCTCGGATGGGTCCTTCTGGTCTGGAAGGTTGCTGATCTCAGGCCGACCTGACCATCATCAAACTACGTGGGCCTCAACTGACGTCACCGCGGTTGCTGGAGTATCGGATTTTTTTCGCACTTCATTTTTCCAACATTCGCAGCCTAAGATCCAATTTGCATGCCGCGAAATCTGGCTCGAAAGCAGTAATAGTCACAGTTATAAACTGATGCGTTGAACGTGTGAGTCTGGCGCCAGTTTGCAACACAAGTTTGTAAGGCGTGCCGTCACAACACTCTCTGGCAGATTGTTCCAAGAGGTCACTACTCTCACTCCGATAAAGTTACCCCTCAGTTTTCTGGGCTTGCGGCTTCTTCAACCTTGAGCTCGTGTCATTGCCATTGGCGGCGTGCTCTGGTATACCAATAGTTGTACAGTATTACCACGAGACACTGATATCCCACTTGTCTTATCACCATTTCTTTTTGCGTCGGGGTGAGTATTGAAGTGGTGTGGAGGTGATTTATGGTGGTGGTATGTCGTGGGTAATCGTGGTGTGTGGGAGTGACTGTTAAGAATAATTGGAGGAAAATGTATTAACGAATATGGTTAATTTAGGACGAAACTTGATACTTTTTCTCTAATTTCATCGCACAAATAATAATTTTACAGAGACACCAGGAAAAATAAAAATAAATATTCATATATCAGCGTTGTATCCCATTATAGTCATAAGTTAATATAACATAACATTGTGCATATAAGCAGAGTACAGGTAATGTATGGTACTTATAGGGGTTCAAGGTTATACTAAACGGTACAATTAATCCCGATATCGTACAAGAACGAATACAAGTATGTTAGCTCAAGAAGTCATTAGTGTTGCCCAGAATTTGATGTGTGTTGTCTAAGGTAAGCAAATTGGTAAATATGAAGACCTGAACAAATCTGTATGTCAGTGAGAAAGACGTTTTCAAACCCACTGAAGACGCATTTGTCCACCATGTAAAGCGAGCTACACTACCTTACAAAGTTACAATCGTGTATTTGGGTCAAGGCTGATCAACCACAAGTCCACAATCTGTCAATCCAGACCAATTCAAGTTTGGTTGGTTGTTGAATGATTAAGTCAAACAACTTTTGACCACAGTTTCACCAAAACCCTAAATCCTTGCTGCATATGCGCACTGTAGTTGAAAGGGACGCTGTGGTTGTACAGTACTTGTAAATATCCGTTCTGTCATCATGGGCTGTGTGTATGTGGTGGTAAATCTTAGTATTTCTTACAAATTGTTGATTATAATGCATACCTTGGGGTGACAGTACTCCATAGAGGGACGGACGAAGACGAAAGTAAAACTAATTAATAAGGTGTTCCTGTTGTTATAACGTTATTACTGAAGTTCACCAGCCAAGGTAAGTGTTTAAACTAATACCTGTACATATAAAAATCTATAACATAATACCTAACATAACAGGGATCCAGGTACAACTGAACCGTATGGTCCTCGTCACCCGCGCCCCCTACAGTGTTGTTACAGTGTTTGAACTTTAAAACCTGAGAGTATAAAGAGCCAAGTCTTGATAACCTTATTCCTCAATTAATAAGGTAGGTTGGTATTATTACTCCATTATCGTAATTCATAATTTGTATTTTATGATTAGGAATTATAGTGTTCTTGAGTTACTTTTAAAGAGACTCGTAATGAAATCTATATAGTGTGTTAAGTTAGAATTAAAGTATACCGAGGGAATACATTACCAGGTCGGGGGTGAAATAAAGTATATAAAGAGGTTGATAATAGTAAAGAGGTAAATATTCGTCCTGTTCTCGGGTTTGAGTATGAGAAGAGTTTTTTTTTTGGTCCGACTAATTACCCAAATGTAGCCGGAATGAAGTCAAATAATGGTCCTACAAGCGTAATTCGGGCTGTGAATCACTTCTCGATTATTATTTGGTGTCATAAAGTAAAAAAAAATTGGTAAACTTAATTTAATCTGAGTTGTGTTGTTAGGTTAGGTTAGGTTAGATTAGATTAGATTAGATTAGTTTAGATTAGATTAGGTTAGGTTAGGTTAGGTACATGCACTTGATCTATTAACTCAGATTAAATTAAGTTTACCAATTTTTTGTGACTTCGTGACACCAAATACTAGTCGAGAAGTGATTGGCAGTCCGATTTATTCATCTAGGACCATTATTTGACTTCATTCCTGCTATATTTGGCTACATTTGGGTAATTAGTCGGACCCGTTTTTTTTGGTGTGTTTTACTCGAATCTGACATTCATTTCTTGAAAATTAGCATTTTTGGAGGCAAAAAAATTAAATTGTCATTTTGGTAAATTTGCATTGGTGCACACAACTCTGCTAGAAAGTCAAAACTATGTTTTCCTAGTGTATTGTTGTGTGTTTTGGTTAGTTTTGAAGGTTGGTTTTGACCTTCATTTCCGTCGGAAATTGTCCGTTTTTTAGTTATGGGGGGTTATTGGTGGGGCGTTTTCCAACAAAATTATGGCTAAGCGAATACAAAATACACATAAAAACCACTATAAAAACATAAACCTGACCTGACCTAACCTAACCTAACTAACTTTCACCATATGATGGAATCACTTATATTTTACCTTATTGGCCTGGTTCTAGTTCGTCATTGGATTCTGAGATTAGTACAGGTTGCTGATGCTGATTCTCGCTTAACAGTGGCTGTAGGCGGGCAGCTTGCACTTAGGACACTCTACTGAGGTCGGGAGAACACCGTGAGATCTAAAAAATTATATAGCTTGTTAGTTTTTTTCCCCAAAACACGCAATCAACTCCATATAATTGAAGTGACACCCATCGCAGACTTCCATGGTCGTAAATGAATTTGAATTTCGAAATATGAGACCCAAAATAAAACTTGAATTTGATCGGGCCAATAATACCGTGAATTAAACCACAAATCGTTTTAATTGATGGCAAAAATAAAAAAGCTTTTGATTGGCCGAGGACGTGTACAGGAACGCATGCTCATGACGATTTATGAAGGAGAGAGACAGTGTGGGAGGTGAGGTAGGCGATAATGACGGAAGATTAATGGAAGAAAATAGAGAAATATCTGGCATGCGCTATCTTCATTATACATTTGCAATGGTAATGTAATAGAAAAAATTATCTTATAATTAGAGGTCTTTTTCGAATATGATAATAAATTTGGGGTAGGAAAGTTGTGTGCTTCTGGCGATAGCGGTTTCCTCGTAAATTACCCTTTAGTTATACGTATAGTCATTTAAAATTTTTCCTCTGCGTTAAAAACTGTGGTTGTGCACAGGAGGGCCCACTTGTAAATACTGTATATAATTTATGCTTGCCACAGCTTCTTTGGTTAATTATATATTTTTGCAATATAATTTTATATGCTTTCACAATTTGTGATTTTCATATCTTGTGCAAATACTTCAAATGAAAAAAACTAACCTGACAAAACGTTATCTAACCATATATATTATACCTTGATTTATTTTAAATTGTTTAAAAAGAAGAATTATTCAAACCTTATGAAACCTAACCTAACCAAACAAAATGTAACCTCACAAATCCTAGCTTTACCTACTGGTAATACTTTACTGTGTCTCTTTCTTGCCTGTAAACAGAGTTTTTGCATTGACTGCAGGTAAAATTTGATTTGAATATATTTAGTAAAGTACCATAAAGATTCACACAATACAAGCATGCATGTACAGTTTCTCCTCGACTAACGACGGGGTTCCGGACCGACGACCAGGTCGTAAGTCGAAAAGGCGAAAATAATACATAGAAAATCTAAAATGAAATACAGTACAATAAAAGTAATCAATAATGAAAAATTTATTAAGTGTTACTGTGCACTTACCTTTAATGTAGTCAGCTGAATGCACACGGGGCCTCAATAATTTTTTAATTAAACATGGAGACTACATTAATTGGATGAAGCAGAGGAGGAGACAGTGCTGGGTAGGTCATCAATTTTGCTTTCTTCAGACAGGTTAACATATTTGCTTGTTGAAGGTATTGGATCATCTTTAGGGAGTGAAGAGGCAGCAGTGGTGGGGCGTGAAGAGACAGCAGTGGGGGACTTCTTAAAATATATGTCCAGTTTAGACTGCATGGTTTGTCTTTTCTTTTCATTGTAAATCAGTCTGTCAACTTTTGCAAAATGCTCAACATTTTGATCCATTTCTTCAAATATTTGCATCCCCTTATTAATAGCAGCAAATGCCTCTGCCTTGTCCTTCAAAATTGTCGATATCGTCGAGTGAGAGAAGCCAAGGTCGCGTGAAATGGTTGTTACCGTTTCTCCATTTTAATATTGCATTATTATTTTCATTTTCATCTCAAAAGTAATTGACTGTCTCCGTTTCTTATAAAGCACCTCGAGAACTCTCACTTTTACACTTGCCAGCCATTTTAAAGGGAATTAGAAACAAAAAAATTTTCAGTACACAGCGCGATCACTAACAACAACAATGGGCAAACACCAAGTGAGCGGGCTGCGGCGTGGATGCTGTACACCACGAGGCGGCCCAGCCCACGCTGTTGTACGGGACGGAAACATTTCGGTACTAGAAAATACGTAATTTGAAAAATATTTTATATGACTGCGGCGGTCGTATGTCCGGGTGGTCGTAAGTCGAGGAGTACCTGTACAAACCTTTACCAAAGATACTGCATAAAATAGTCGTATCCAGTGAGTCCTTGTTTTGGCAATTTTTCTAAGAATGTCATACTTCATAAAAATGTGTATTGCATCTTTGACTGACTGTACACCCACTAAAAAATATTCGGCACCCGTATCATATTGTATCACGCCGTAAGGGTGCCAAATAAATTTTTAGTGAGTGTACATTCGTCTGAAAATTCATATTCATAATTGTCACACATCCATGGTCAGGAGAGGTTGGACGTACCTAAGGTACTACGTATAGATGGAGAATATTGCCACTGGGTAGCTGAAATTTTTAAATTTCATAACATACTTGATGTTAATTGGCTAATGCCTTGTGACAACCAATATATCACATCAAGCTCAGGAAAAATAGCCTCTGCTTTTATTTTTTTTTTAACATAGAAGCTCGTCAGTATTACTGCAGTTAATACCCATTTTCACAAGCTTTCATACATTTGTTTATGCATTGTATTTTTACCTGAGTGTTTCAACTAGGTTATTTTTTTTAATTTTGTGGGTTGTTAAATCATATACAGTGCTATCTCCGTTAGCCGGAACAGATGGTGCAGAGCACTTCTGGGAATGAGAGACTTGCTGCTATATGAACCCATGAATGCTATAATGATAACCTTTACTGATTAAAATTTTGACATACAGTACTGTACTATAGTTCATTCCTGCTAAAATGTCATACTCCAGAATTGCCAGATTTTGCTGTTTATATCCTAAATTGCCTGGTGTTCTAAATATGTACAGTACAGGTACACCTTGGCTTACGACCTACTCGACTTACGACCACCCGGACATACGACTGCCGCAGTCGTATAAAATATTTTTCAAATTACGTATTTTCGAGTCCCGGTGTTAGAGATCGCGATGTGTACCGACAAAATTTTCGTTTGTAATTCCCTTTAAAATGGCTGGCAAGTGTAAAAGGGAAAGTTCTCGTGGTGCTGAGAAGAAAAAGAGACCCATTTTAGATTTTCCATGTATTATTTTCGCCTTAAAACCAATTCGACTTGCTACCTGGTCGTCGGTCCCTAACCCCGTCGTAAGTCGAGGACTGACTGTATAGAGATGTTACAAGACACCCAATCTCACAATTGGCTCGCAAAATACAGTAGAAAAAAAATGGCGCCTACAACCTAGTTACCCTAAGAGTTAGCTAGATGGCATAGAGTTGTATCTTGATTACCTTGAAATGGAAAAAGTTGTGACAAATATTATATAGGAGTAGCGGTTCCCAAACTTTGGTCACAGACCGGTGTTGGTCTGTGGCTTAATTCTTACCAGTTCCTCAAAAAAAATTTATCGTTGCATATTTTTGTTATAATTTATTGGCTAAACATAATTCCCTTAAACTTTGCAATCATTAATAACAAAGCTATGTTCAGTTAATTGGTAAAATTTAATTTATGTATATTAATCTGTGGTATCTGTCAGCTGACTCCTGGGTGACCTTGTGGATGACTATTTAATTTTAGTAAGTTGGTCAGAGGTTAGAATGTCTTGGGTCCCTTTCTGCTTTAGTATATCAATTTAATACTATTTTGTTAAACTATAGTTGCCTATGATGCTGGGTAAGGATTATTAGAAGACAGGAATATACAGTAGTACTGTATATATGCACCTGTAAATATTTCAATAGAACCTCTATGCTGAGCTGCTACCAATGTTTAGAGAAATACTGTACAGAACTGTACTGTAAACATCTAAAAGGCATTTTTGGTGTATTTTTTTAATCTCCGTTCCTGTGCCCCCTTTTCCTCACGTCCTTTCCTGTAATTATCGGTCTCAATCTAACAAAATACTGAGGGTCTGCTGAATATGGACAATGAATATTGTAAATGTACAGGAGGTCCCTGACTTACAAATGCCCACCGATACGAACAGGTTAAACTTGAAATTTTCAGTATTTTATTCACCTGATGACTAATTTTATTACTTTCATTTACTGTATTTTGTCATTCTGTTTCTTCTTTTCTCTTAAATTAAGTGATTTTAGATGTACAGTATACGTATAAGGACTTAGGCTATGATATACAGTGGGGTATGCTATAACGAATCTAATTGGTTCTAGAACCTTGTTCATTATAGCATTCGTTCGTTATAGGATTAATCCGTTCCAGGCCCCCAAATACAACCACTTAACACTGAAAAATATAATATAAAATTGTAAAAATTGTAAAAAAGTGCATAAATATGCATCTAAACCCCTGAAATAACCAATATCATTAATACTTGTAATAAAAAAACACTAAATTAGTAAAAAAAAAATAATGTTCGTTGTAGGAGTTTCGTTCGTTATAGCATTCTCAATTTTATAGGTAAAACCGTTCGTTATAGGAATATTCGTAGTAGAAGTCATTCGTTATAGCATACCCCACTGTAGTGGGATTTTAAACATTGTTCTGTAAGTACAGTATGCACATACCATGTGTTTCGACTTGCGTACAAATCCGACTCACGAACGTCCTCAGGAACGGAACCCGTTCGTAACACGGGGACCCCCTGTACTCTGTATATGATATTTACAATTGTCAGTATGCAGAATTTTTATTTCACTCTGCTGGTTCATGAAGTGTGGGAACCACTGCACAGTACTAAAGAACTGTAACACATAGGTGTGAAGTCTTACACCCTAAGACTGTCTCTTCCTTTACATTTTGCTGTATACAGTATTACCATTTGAAATACCTATACCTGTACTGTACTGTGTTTTATAATTTTAAAAGTGTGGTCAAATAACTGTAGGCTTTTTCAATCAGTTTGTTGCAATGGGTTGTACATTTTTTTCTAATCCAATTCAAATATGTTGAGGTTTACTCCATATACATTACATATTATTATTATTATTATTTTTAGGGTATTGTTATTATTATTAAGAGTACGGTATTATTATTTTTATATTTTGGGTATTATAACTTCTCTTTCAGGTGATGGATACTCCTGGTCATAGCCTGTTTGGAGGGACCAGTTTACACTTACAGGGGATTGGGACACTGAATTTTGAAGATGAAGAACAGGATGAAGAGGAAGAAGAAAATAGGAGGAAGGAAGAAATCCAAAACATGATAGTTAATGCTTTTGATGATCTTGAGGAGGAGGAATCTCTTGCAGATCAGTCTAGTCATTGCCCATTGGGTCCTGACCAGGTTCACCAAGTGGCCCAGCACTTGGGCATGGAAGAGTCTGAGAGGTCGGTGGAAATGTCTCATGTCCAGAGTGGGGATGGACATAGACAAAGAAATTATAGCAATTCACAGAGCAGCATAACAGAACATTATGGTCATGAGGGTGGGGCAGACCTGTTTCCCAAGCATCGTGGTACAGATCTGCATTCTTCTTGTAGCAGTAGCCAGGGCAGTGTTAACCCGTGGAGTGATGACAGTCATGAAGATGTCTTACAAAGACATGGTCCATTTGTTACTGAAATTTCTGAGGGGGGCCATCATTACTCTGGCCAGGAAAACTTGATGAGAAACCCTCAACAGGATAATTTTGATAATAGGAGCATATATAATGATGAAGGAATGTCATTGTATGTGGCTGGTGAATCTTATCATGCAGATAATTACAAGCCTGGCTTTGTTGATGATGAAGGTTCTAAAGAAACACTGAGTAACCAGTATAAGGAAGGAGATATAGCATACGATCAACTGAAGCTGTTGTATGAAGCCAGAGGCAGGGAAATTGATAGGCAGATGTCTGAAATATCAAAGTTGAAGTTTGAAAGTAGTCGTGAAATTCGGGTGTTACAACATCAACTGAATCTTCTTAAATCAGAAGCTGAAAGCAAAGAGGCCAGTGTAAAACAACTGCAGATTCTTTTGTCAGAAAAAGATGAAAGAGTAAAGAAGATGGTAATTGACATTAAAGAGTCTCATGACAAGCTAAAAGCAGCTCAGGATGAGAATAACAAGATACAATTTGAACTAGAATCAGCAGAATCTACAATCTCCAGCTTAGAATGCCAAATTTCAGAATTAAAAGCTGCTGATAGTTTAGCAAGAAATCAGCAGTTACATGAAAATTTTGTTCGTAAACTTCAGCACAACAACCAAGAAGAGCAGTACTTGATGGTAACAAAATTACAAGAGTCCCAGAAAGAAGCTGAGACATTCAAGCAAGAGATTAAAAGATTAAGAGATGAATTGAAGAACCTGAGAGGAACTTATGATGATGCACTTGTACAAAAAACTGAAACTGTAACAAAACTTACTTTAACAATTGAAACTGTAAGAAAGCAGTATGAAGAGCTGTTGCAAGCTCATGATGGCCAACATATTTTGGAATTACAGTTGAAAATTCGAAGCCTTGAATCCAGCAAACAAGAATTTGAAACTAAAGTTAGGGCACTTGAAAGTGAAGTAGCAAAAGCAAGAGAGGACTTGGATGGATATGATATTGCCATGAAACTAGGTCTGATGAATGATATGGTGCCATATGAGGATTCTATGGTGCAGATGGGTGTAAAGAAGACTCTGAACTATAATGACACTGTAACTGAAGTTAGACAGAAGAAGGACACCCAAAACAAGTTAACTGAATCTCAAGAAAGAATAAAATTAAGGGAGGAGCTGAAAAACAGTTTGTTAATTAATAAAGCGAAGCGGGATGAAATAAAGGTGTTAAGGGAAGAAACCAGAGAGAAACAGGTAATAATTAAGAAAGCGCAGAGTGACCTCAAGGAAGCACAAATAGAAATAAAGAAATTATGTGGAAATTTAATGAAATTACAACTAGAACAAGCCGAATGCCAGTTACGGGACGATGACGGGACTAAGATGTCAGTTGTACAGGCTGAAAATATTTCCCTTCGACAAGAACTCGCTCCTTTGTATAGCTCCATTAGACAGCTAAAGCTTTCTTTTAAAAAGTTTAATGACCTGATTCAGAATTGGAAAAATGATTTGCCTAATTTGAATTCAGAAGACAACCTTGCTGCTATAATTGAAAGGTATGATAAATGGCTCCAGCATGTTGAGTCATACAGAAATTTTGTCTCAGAAGTTGAAAAGTTCAGTGAATCTATTTCTCAGATTAGAGAAGAAAATCATAAATTGCACGAAGGACAAGTTCTGTGGGAGAAAAGATTCCATGATATACAAATCAGATTGAAAGTTTCTGAAAAGATGATTATAGATGCTGCAACTGATCAAGGTAGACCAAATGAGTTCAACCAAGCTTGCAACATTCTTCAACAGCTGCTGGGGAATATAAGTCGGCTAGTAATGGTTGTCAAGGAAGAAAATGCTGATGTATTTAACGAGAAACTGAACTTGCAGGATCAGTTGACAGCTCGCCACCTGGAAATGGAAAAGCTAAGGAAGGATATTAAGGATCTGCAGGACGATAAGGAAGACCTACAGTTAAAAATGTTGGCCATGTCTAAGAAAAATGAAGAAGAAAAAGAGGCAGCTTTAGAGAGTTGTAAGAATACATATTTAGAGTTCCACAAGGAAGCAGTACGTGAACTTGAACAGAAGATTAAAACTGATTATGAAAATATTGCACAGAATTTGAAAGGAGAGATTAACAGACTTGCAGATCAGCTAAGTAGGACGAAGGAATTGTACATCAGGATTTGTGAGGAGAAGGATGAAATTGAGGATAAATTAAAACAGCTTGAGGAAACGGCAGAATTAGAGAAGTCTCAATCACAAAAAGAGAGACAAGGAAGCTCCACTCCAACCCCACATTCCAGTGTTGGGGTTAATTCTGAAAAGACAGACATAATGCAACATGTCACCAAGTATGAAAATAAAATAAAAGACCTTGAACTACAAATAGAAACTCTGAAGGAAAATTATAAAGTAGAAAAGAAAGAGATTTTAATGGAGAAAGAGAAACTGCAAATCAAATATCAACAACAGTGTGAAGAGATGGAAACTGTCCGAGAGGCATCACTAAAGGCCTTGGCAGAGTTACAAGTGAAATGTGCAACTTTAGAAGAGTGTAATGTGATGTTAAATGATGAGTGTAGGAAATTGGAGGAAAATTTATTGAAAATGAAAGAAGGTAACAAAAAGCCTGAAGACGTTGATTTAAACGAACACGGACATTGGCAATTTGTTCTGGAGAGGCATCAGAAACGAGTAGATGAAGAAAAACAGGAATTAAAGATGTACTATGAAAATTTAATTAAAGAACTAGAAAATAAATATACCACACCAGAAATTTCAAAGCTATTGAAAAACAAGATGACAAAACAGGAAGATGACATACAATTGTTGAAGAATAAAGTTAAACAACAAGAGAAAGATATAAAGGAAATAACAAATGAATGTGGAAGAATTAAAGAAACGGCTGAAGTCAGAGAACACGATAGAGAGCAGGAGGTACGCAAGTTCACAGACATCGTGCAGAACCTTGAGGGTCAGGTGAAAGAAAAACAAGATGAAAGTAATAACGCAAGAGCTGCCTTCCAGAAATATATACAAGAGCTCAACGAACATCAAGCTCTTTTAAACCAGAAATTGAAGAAAGCTGAGGAAAGTTCTGCACAGCTGCAAGAGACACTCGCTAAATATAATAAATTAAAAGTAAGTTATATGAAATTTCAAAATGAATATAAAATACAAATTTCCTATTACAAAGAAGAGTCTAATAGAATGGTATCAGAGTTTGCAACTAAAAAGGAAATATTGCTGGATCGTTTGAGGAAGTGCATTGAAGAAGTTAAGCAGATGTGTACATCGTGTATCGACAATATCATATCTTCTCTGAAAGGGTTAGATTCTATGCAACAGAATATGCATCAAGCAGTGTTAGAGCTTGAGGAATTATCTAAAGACATAAAGAATTTAACACTAACAATAACATAAGTCCTTTTATACCTGTTGAAAATGTCCCCTGTCATAAAAACATAGAGGAAGTCTTTATGAGTTGAAGTATTTGTTAAAGGAGTATTTTTGTAATCTTTAATTAGGACATTTATTCTCTTGTATATATTGATGTCTTCACCCAGTGGCTGCTTGTCACCTCCATTTACCAAAGATAATTTAAGTGGTCAAGAAATTGTTGCCGTACTAATACAGTATGTGACTCGCCAGCAGAAACAGATTAAGATTGATAAGGACCTTCATTTGTTTTGTGTAAGTACAGTACTGTATTACGTATTTCTTATGTAAATGAACTTTGATGTGAATGTATTTTTATATACTGTATACAGTACAGTATATATATCAATGATATCAGCTTAGAAATTAGGTGTGTTATGAAGTGTTGTAATATTGTGTTTGGGTGCTTACGACAGATCACCTCTAGATTATCCCCAGCTCACTGCACCTTAAGATTGGCCATTTTAATTTAATCTAAGCTCCAAGGCACCAATAGGATGTTTAATTATCAGTTGAAATAGGCTGGAGGGGGGCTAATCTTCATGTGATCCCTAAAGACTAAAATGTATGTTGTGAATGAAAGTTGGGGATATGTGTGGATATTTTCGTTGTTATTGTTGCCCTCTCTTACCACCCTTCACTTGCCTTACACAACATTCCCCATTATTTCCTCCTTCATGGTTTCTGTAGCCATTGATCCACTGCACAAAAACTGGGGTGGAATTAAAGATAACAGATTTAAATAGACTGTGGATTGACTTGAATGGGATTTTTACTCCTGTTTTTCATGTTGAAGAAATCATTTAAAAAACTGCTTTGTCCATTTTCAAACTTGTACAATACAATATTGTTTATCTGAAAATTCATACCATAACACAAAATTGACTATACAAAAATTAATCAATATCTCTGGGGCACTTATAGTTCTGGAAGACTCCATCGCATCAAACAGCTCTGTCTACAGTCAGCAGCTGTAACCACATGTGATCACATCTGACACAACCCCACATGTGATCACATCTGACACAACCCTTGTAGTGCTCACCTATTCAGTACTGTACAGTAATCTTCCCATTAACCGTAATAATTGGTGCAGAGCGGTTCCAGGTTAGAGAGATTTCGGAGTATTGAGCCGAATTTTCGAATCCCCAGAAAAAAATCGTGCATCTCGGCATTTTTCCGGGCGCTGGTGAATGTTTCCGCATCTAAATGAAGCACCAATGCTATGGATAGACACAGAGCTGCATTTATTAATGCAAAAACTATTGTACTCATACAGTGATTTACTTGCAAAAATATTGTAAATAAACAACATATACTACTGTACTCGCCAGCAGATGCTGTCATCTTGAGCTTGTGACATGATGATACAGGATGGCCTGCTTTGTCATGTACCATCTACTGTGGCAACTGGTGCTAATTGTCATTCTGCTATCCCTCCATGAAGGAGGGATTGTACACGCTGTATTTCCAGACAGTCTGCCCCTATACTATACTGAATGACTTCAATAGAAGAGAGGGTGAATTGTGTTCTCTGGTTAGCCGTGTTAAAGTCTGTAACAGCAGTTAGAAGAAAATTTTGATTCATTTTCATGGACTATTTAGAGAAACTTTCTCTACAGACGCTTCAGTCTCCTCGTTTACTCCCGGTCTTCCAGTTCGTGGCTTGTCATTAACGGAACCGGTCTCTTTTAAACTTCTTTATCCATCTTGTAATTGAATTTCTATGTGGTGCTTCCTTCTTGTAATGAGTCGTAAATTTTATTCTACCCGCTGTTATAGACTTTAACTCAGCTAACCAGAGGACAAAATTCACCTTCTCTTTTATTGAAGTCAATCACTATAATGTTGGGGCAGATTATTTGGTATAACAGTAAGAAAAATTAGAATAAATAAATGTATTTGGTCATAAAAAAATAATAAATTATCTTTTCAAAGCATTTTACAGATTGTTTTTATCTCCTATAGAGTCTAAGTTATTAATTTTTTAAACTGCACCAGGACTTTACAGACACCCTGTATACACCCTCTACACACTAGCCTACAGTAAGCATATGCTGTCCACTCTGCTATGTACAGTATTGCACATATGGTACTTTCACACTTGCTGAATGTACAGTATGGTATTTGATATAAATATAATAAATTTCTATGCCTTAATGTTACTTTTGGCTGATTGTATTCTGGTACAGTTATTATACAGTACTGCACAACTGATCAAATGTGAAAACAACAGTGAACTAGCAAATAAGCTGGTACAGTACAATGGCAGCAGACAATGAACTAAGAGTGTCATAATGCTAGTGTTTGGGTAGATTTGGCTGCGAGATATACAGGTATCAGTTAATCATAGACATCCCATGCAGTCACAGTATAGTAACGAATTGTAGCTTACGGGCACTCGGATGTAATCTCTCACAAATTCGTTTGAATGCCTGGAACAAAAAGATTTTTCTCGGAATTTCTTTGAATGCAAGAATAAAAGATAAAAATAAAATCTGGGTAATGGAAATTTTCAGGGATCGAAGGTTCTTGCTAATGGGGAGATTACTGGATTTAGAAAATTACTTAGGAAGAGCTGATTATAATAGTTCATGACACTTTATAACAGAATGAAAGTCTTTTACTTCTGAGCAGGAAATTATACTGATGTTTAGGCTAAGAGATAAATTTGAGAGGGAACAGTGTAATTGTATGAAGCAGACAGCACTGACAGCGCTGTTAACGAAAATTTCAAGTGATTGTGTTTGTTCATCACCTGTAACATCAATTTCTTCATGAGTCTCCTGAATTACACTGGATGATACATAATCTAAAGTGATGATCCATCAAATTCCCAGACTGACATATTGTCATCATTATCATCAGTGTTGTGGCCATTTTACATGCTTGCATAGTGTAGCTGCAGTTACCTGTCAGCAAGGCAGAGTCCCAACTCTGAGGTCATGAAACTACCCATCTACTTATAATTAGGAATAAACTGTCTTCTACTGCATGTTGTAATTTATTTTTTATCTTCAGTCTAACATATGTATTTCAGTAAATGATGTCGATTGTTAACTCTTCAACCACATTAACATCGCTGGATGAAGGGTTCCGAAACAAGATTGATTCTCTGCAGGTAAGACTTTTTTTTTGTGTGTGTGTGTAATTAAATTAATTTCCGTTTTGCCCAGTATGTTGCTGCTGAACATCCGATAAGAGTAGTGATCAAAGAATTATCAAACATGTGTTAGTGACTAGAGGAGGGTATATCCTTCCTTATATCCTTGTAACTATTTATTTTTTCCAATGTAAGAAAACCAGGAAAGTAAACTAGTTTAAATACATTACCAGAACAGGAAGAAAAGGCCTTAGGAGGAAGACAGAGAAAGGAAGGAATGAGGAGGTGCTTTTGCTTGATATTCACAAGCAGAAAAGGCCCATACACGTATAAAAAAAAAGGTTAATTCGGTCTTTGGTTTTCTAGATCAGTCTTTGTCTTTAGGTCACTTGAGCAAACTTTCCAACTGGCTGGTTTATGTGTAGTCATACAAGATAAAAGAAGGTTGAGGTCTAATTAATTTTGTACCCTTTCCTCTTTTCATGTCTCATCCCTTCCTCAAGGTTAGGTAAGGGGAGGTCTTTATTTTCAGTTTGTTTAATTCCTCCGTCACCAAAGGAAGTGAAAAGCTTCTGCTCTACAGGTGTACCTTGATTTATGATAACTATTTACAATACAGTATTTAAATTTTATGATAGTGCTGTAAATTTTGTACAGCTTTTTTCGATGTATGGTACAGCTTTTTTTATTTGTATGTATTTTTTTTAAATACATGTAATTTCACGTATCTAAGGAAAATTCGTCTTAATTTTGTTCCGAACCATTTGAGTAGCTGCAGCATATCATGATGAAATTGTTTATAAGCGAGTGAAGTCTTTCAAATTCAGCTCCACACTTCAATAGAACTCTCCAGTAATTTCTTGCATTTTTCAAGCAATTTACTCATTTAGAGATGTCGGGAAAGTGGTCAGTAAGTGAAATGAGTAGCAGCAGTACCCCTAATAGTAAGAAACCCCACAATACCATCACTTTTGTTTAGATGTTATTTTGGAGATGATTAAGCACATTGAGGCCTGTGAAGAGACGATGCTCAGCAGGAAAGTCTTAGAACTACAGTAGACGACCTTTTACCGCTGATTGTTTATCCGAACCAGGGCTTTGCCACATCAAACACCCCCGAACCGCATTTGGAAGTTAATTAATTTTCAAATTTCCCGCCACATGAAGCTAGCCAGCCACGACGATAACTCCACCACTCCACACCACTGGCAGACAGACATATTTATTGAGTTATATGCCTGAAATGTATTATAGTTAGACACTAAACAAGCAAGAATAGAATGATAGTGGTGGTGATACACATACTGTATAGTTATGTTAGAAACTCGTTATCTTATAAGTATTTTTTCTCCTGGTGGGGCCCCAACCGGGCTGAGGGCGTAACCGTGCAAGTGAACCATCCCTCAGTCACAGTAAAATTGTCGTCTACAGTATATCAGTAAACTGGTAACTACTGTACTGTATTACACAATTTACAAGTTTGTTTTTCTCAACGTTTTGCCTCTGTGTACGTATCCCAGTTTATAATGGTAAGCGATGGATAAAGATGATTTAGTTTTAAGATTGGTTTATGGCAGCTTTCAGGAATGCAACTCAATCATAAATTAAGATACATACCATACTGTACTAGTATTTTCATCTTGCTAGTTTTTCCCCACTCATTCTTATCCTTTCTTTGGGGACAGAAAACATAAGGAACTCACATATTCCATCATAAACGCATACATATACAGTACTGTATATACCTTCTTCTTGTCATTAAGTAGAAAGCTTCCACATAGGACATATCCCCCATCTATAGTTTTATAGTTTACAATAAAACTGTGTAATACATTATCTGTTTTGGTTAAGTACTGATCTTTGATTTTTTTAGGTATGTGTGGATCTACGAGGAGGCTGGGGAGAGGACACTGTCTCAGAATTTGAGCAGCTCACTGGAGAGTTGGCGACCTTACGTCAAGATGTCGCTCATTACAGAAGCATCATGGCCACTGCCCAGAAAGATATAGTAACGGCACATTGTCTCCTAGAGCAGATGCAGCAGCTGTCAAAGAGACTCACTCACATGAAAACCAATTTGCCAGTACATATACCAAATGTTAATGCTTCTCCCCCAGTTGTGCCTGCTGCTGTATCCCAACCAACAACAAAGCAGACAAATATCAACAAACAAAATGAACAGACTTATACTCAGGAAAAGGTATGTCATGATCCATCAAAGAATAGTGTTAATTAAATCATCTTATTACACAGGAACTGAAGAAAGTGACTTAGGTTTTTTAGGTCATCAGTCAAGGTACATGACTACTTTCTATTCTCAAGGGATGTTATTAACCTTTTGATCCATGCTCATTGTACAGTATTTAAGGTAATTTGCCTTATCCTACAGGTCCAGTCCAAATGAAACATTTCTTTATGTTGTATCTTATGAAATTTCCTCCATTATTTTATATTCCTCAAAATTGTAAAATTGTGAAAGCACATAGCTACAGTAGTTGTTGTATTGTGTGCTCATTTTTTAAGCAAATTTTCTGTTTTATTGGTCCTCAGTGTACACTCGCTACAGAAAATATCTGCAAGGTGGGGTCCAGCGGATGTCAAAATGAACACCGCTACTCCTGTTGTCTCAGTAGGATTGTTAAAATCCTTCATCCATTGTGTCGTATTGTCTAGCAAAAAAAATTTTCGGACACTTTTTGTAGCGAGTTTACATGTAGATCTGCACACACACACACCCACACTTTAGGAAGTTGCAGGACTGGTCACTTTTCTGACATCAAATTAACCTTTCCAGTGTGGTGGGTTTGGGCTCTGATGTGTAAAAACTTCCACATTTATCTGACATCATGAATTACGACTAAGTGACAGTGTGTTGTTTTTTAATCTGGTCATGTTCTGTAGTAGGAAAGGGTTTGCAAAGGTGAAAAATAGTTAAGTCACTGTACAGGTACTCCCCGACTTACGACGGGGTTAGGGACCGACATCCAGGTCGTAAGTCGGGAATACTTAAAACACTCACTTTTAAGCTTGCCAGCCATTTTAAAGTGAATTACAGATGAAAATTTTGTCTCTGTACTGACTTTGGGACTCGAAAATACGTAATTTGACCAAATTTTGGTACGACAGGCAGGTCGTAAGTGCAGGTGGACATAAGTCGAGTAGGTCGTAAGTCGGGGAGTAGCTGTACAGGTATATTACAATCATGTTTTATTTAAATTGCTATGGCATTTTTAAGTTTACTGTTTTTTTTTTTGTTTTTTTTCTTATACAGGGTTGTATGAAACAAGAAAATACACACATGCATTCATTATCACTACCATACTGTAATAGATGTGTCCATTTTATGGTACGTAACTTCCCTTCCACACTGTTGCCCCAATTTTGGTTTTCCCTTGTTGCCTCCCACAGGGCAGCATCACCCGTGCTGTCTGCTACACATTCATGCTCACTACTGCACCTTATCTCTGAATTTATTATTCTCTGCATCCTGTTTACCCAACACATTTTTGTTTTTCATATTTATCCCTTCTTCCACTTAAAGTTCATCTTTCAAACATATACAGTACTGCAATGATTTTGCTGAACAATTCCCCTGCAGATCCTATTTTACATCTATTAATCAACCCATTAACTTCCTTTCCCTCTGCTAATTGTCAGTGCACTTCATCACTCATCACTCCATATGCTGAAATTTCCACTCCCAGACATCTGAAATACTCCACTTTCTCCATTCTATCTCCATTTAAAGTAATATACAGTACTGTATTTGTATTACTTTTGTTCACATTTACTATCAGCCTTACCCTAGTACACACTTATAAACTCATTAACAAACAGTGTCATCTGTAAACAGCAACTGATTTACCTCCCATTTACATCCAAACTTCACCTCCTAATCACCCTTCCCTTCACCTCTCTTACTACCCTATCTCTGAAAATATTAAACAGAGGTGACAGTATACTGTACATCCTTGACATAGACTTCTTTCTAAATCCATAAATCTCATAAATAATTTTTTTCCCTACTCTAGCAATTTTTCTCTTGTGTTCCGTAGTACAAAAACTTGATTCATTTATACTGTATTATTTATTTAGAGAATCCATCCCACTCTTCCCTCATTACACCCTTTCCCTGATATATTGAACAGATTTATACCTCTGTGATTTTAACGCCTTTTGGTACTCTTGCTTTTTACGCTGAGCTTGTATACTGTACTCTTGTCATCCAATCCAATAGTTATGAATGTTTGCAGTAAATTTCACATGTCTGTCCATTTGTAAATTCTTCCTTCTCCTGTTCCTGTTTGCAAGCAACCCACACTATTGAATGAGAAATTATTTTGTGGCAATATATATTTTTTGTTGTATCATATGTTAGATAATTTTGTACTTACTGTTACACTTTGTTTCTAGAGCAAAGTAAAGACTGGATCTGGGAAAGCAAAGCAGATTCCCATTATTGAGTACGTTACCATTGAGGAGTTTGAGTCTGTTCCTAAGTATGTATATCTTTAAGTTTTTTGTTTTTTTTATCATAAGTACTGTATATACATTTGTTAAGTCTTCTCTTGAGTATACTGTACATACCATTGAGTTATAAGTATACAGTAGTACAGTATACTCTCGATTTAACGGAATCTGATATGACGAATTCTCGATTTAGCGGAAAGCATTTTTTTCGTTATTTTTTGCTCAATTTAGTGAACTAGTTCGCTAATCGAGATTATTTCTGTCAATACGCTCACACCTACTGAGACACCTCAGACATATGATACAGTAAAACCTACTTCAGCCTATGGTGAATACACTAACTGTATAAAAACGATAAATAATGATACAAGGTAATTACTGGAAAATCTGAGAAAATGGCGAGAAAATCACTCCAAGCCTTTTTGCTCTGGGCCAGGGGACAAAGGTTCTTTGCATTATGAAAGATCGCACCATGTTTAGCCGCATCCTCACATGGTTGGTGCATGGATGAGAAGACCAACCGCTTGGGTAATGCTGGATATTTCTGCTCTGGTTCTATTTTTAAATACTGTGCAAACAGATATTTCTTTAAATGTATGTACAATAGTTAACAAGGTAAAACAATACGTACTGTAATAAATCAATGTAACTCCGAGCTGCGCTAACGAGGTGGCCAGACAGGTGGTGAGGTGACAAGGCAGTAGATGAGGTGACATGCCAAGACACTTACACAGCACACACATTAACACCACTACTAAATCATTGTCTTATAACACTTTACTTTATAATTTTATTTTAAAATTAATTGATACATAATGGCTCGATATGGCTACTTTTGTACTTAGACAACTGATCAGTGGATAAACCAGGGCATATGTAGACTCATTATACACGAGTGATGTCAGTGAGCTTTGCAGCTGTAACCACCATGCATAAATTATCACAACCTGTACTCAAATGTACTAAGTTAGTTACTAATATTTGTATGTCTAATGCAAACTATGAGATGTTTATACTCAAATTAATTGCCATCTTGGAAGAATTCCAGCAATGCAAGTCAAGTCTACAATTTAATCTCCCCTCCTGGCTGTCAACACCCTCCCCCCCTCCTTCCATCCAGCAGTGGAAGCGAGATATGGCGATGGGTGATAAGGATTTATATTTATTAGGCCACCCGGGCACAGGTCAAACAACCCACTTGATTTAGCAGAGTATAACTTGCATTGCTGGAATTTTTGCAAGATGGCAATTAATTTGAGTATAAACATCTCATAGTTTGCCCAAGAGTTAACAATTTTAGGCCTTTGGCTCAGTACATTTGTGTACAAAATGAGTACTGTACAGTAATATGTTGCTCAAAATAGTGGCTTTTTCACAGAGAAAGGTCTGTATAACTAGCCCCAGTGGTCAGGATATTATGGTATTGAATGTTACAGAGTACAGGTATTTCAAATATATTCTTTGTTTACGTCTGTACATAGAGACTGGTGGTGTGGAGACCCTTGGGGGTAGAAACTGACCGTGCACCCTCAAAATATTCGTCTGCCTCTGTTAGTCTTACTGGGAAAAATATTGTTTATTTGTCATTTATTAATTAGTAAAGATATGTCATTTAACTCCTAAATGACGGTTATTGTCATAAGATGATCCAAAAACAAACACCGGGTGTGGTCATGTGACAACGAGGCATCTTTCAAATGTCTCGGTAAAAATTTTCACATGTAGCCCGCCAGGTGTCTCCTCGGCATCCCCTCGAGCCGACTAGATAAGCCAATCAGCATACAGTATGCCTCGGTGCGATCCAAAGAGTCATGGAGGAAGGAGATACAACTTCTGCTCCAGTCTTTCTCCTTGTGGGAGCCAGTAGGAAGCATAACAAAGTGAGCGCAGCAATGTCACCACTGTCGGCAGAGCCCGGGCCATCCCGTGAAAAAAGATATAGAAGAAAGAAAAACCTTTCTATTGAAGAAATTTTTTTCGAGTTGGGAAGAATTGGAACAAGCTATTGGTGACAGTGAGTGGGAACCAGATGATGAAGATATGAGTAATTTCTCGGTGGAGGAAAATGAACCTCCCAACGCCACTCTATACCACGTGACACACCAACACGAACAATGGCTGCGCCTGCTACCCAAGTAATTGACTCTGATTCACCGCCAGCTACTACTGTACTATACCCCAGGATACATGTAGTACAAATTTTGCTTTTGTTTGGAGTGATGGGAGAGATTTTGTGCCAAACATTCCCGAATTTGATTCATCAACACCAGGCCTGTGTCAGAATTATCTGCTTCCAGAAGACAGTGATTATGTTAATTATTTTTTACAGTTCATGAACATAGATATACTACAGTAGTAAATATGATTATGAAAGAAACAAATGATTTCCATGAATGGTTTAACAGTACACATGGTGTCACTAAGATATTATTGGGAGGACGTTCGTTTGCTATTTTCATAGTAAGTGCAACTCTCATGTTATAACATTCTATTCTCTTTAGTTTGCCCTGAAAATTAAAATTTTATTTCAAAGAAAGTGTGGATTGGTTTTCTATCTTCTGGGTGTTTGTGGAAACAATTACCAAATGGGTGACGTTTAGCGAGGCAGCCATTACTACTAGATCCCGCAACATTGCTACATTCGATGACATCACAGCCATTATTTTACTGCCTTTTTTTTACTCAAAGGAGAGTGAGAGGGAGATTTTTATTGTGATTTTTGAAAAGTATGCAACAAATCCAGTTGGATGATATACAGTACAATACTGTATACTGTATACAGTATATAAATTCCATTAGATTTTTTTTTTTTTTTTCAATTTTCTAAATTAGCCCGTCTGAGGGGCAGTGAAAATTCTCCTCGCCCAACGTTTGAGGGTTAAGGCTATCATATTGGAAACGTCTCTTAGAGAATTTATAAAGTATCATGGTATCAAATTCATCTCCCTATCACAATTAGCCATGCTTGAGTGAGGAAGGAGGGGAGAAAACTGACCATGCTCCCTCCCTCCCTCCCTCCCTAAAAAATGGTTCACCTCCCAGCCTCACTCCATATTTTAAAATGTTATGTACCGTAATGTTGAAGGGATACAACTTTGCTCATTTATACTGTACAGTACATACCGTATACTTATTACAATATCCCTAAAATACTTTAGTTTTGCCTTTATTCAAGACATCTTCAGGTCATGAGATCAACTAATCCCCCACCCAAGAAAGGGGTGACCTGACATTCCAACGCTGCCTCCAGTTGCCTCTTATGATGTCTTGAATAAAGACGAAAGCTAAGGTGCTCCAGTGTATACTTAGTTGTCCGAGAGGTAGCAGTGAACAACACACGTGGTGGTGGCAGGACACAGACTGAGCGGCGGAAAGTTCGATTTAGTGAAAAATTTTATTTAACAAACAGGTGACTCAAATTAGGTCGTTAAATCGAGAAAATACTGTATATACGAGTATACTTTTCATCTTAATCCAAACTGTTTACTGCACTGGTTTTAAAACAACATAAGTATTTTGCATGAGTGAATCTGTGTACAGAATTCATTTATACTGAACTGTATTTTTAATTTACAAGGTACATTCGTGGGCGTCTACAGTATGACCAAGTAAACAATACTGTCAATGCAATAAATAAGACGCTGGAGAGCAAGTACACTCTGATGGCACGTCCCAGATCCAAAATATCTGAAGTTGATATGAGGATCGTTACTGCTTGTAGACGTCAGGAGAACCAAGAGACCAGAGGTTTGTTTTGTTCTTAATTGAAAGTGTCCCTTGAGGGATGATGTCACTTGAAGGAAACTGAAAATTTTATTGTCTTGTCCATCTACAATTTTGTACATTCTTGACTGAGGTTGTATAGTGATTTTAATTTATTCATAAAATTTTTAGCATTTACAGCCACTCAAAAAAACTATATACAAAATTGTGTTAAGACAATATGCCACAATGGACAAAGGATTTTGACAACCCTACCCAGACTACAGGAGTCGCAGTTTTCATTGTGAAAATCATCGTCTTCCCCCCCCACCCCAAGTACATATAGTTTTTTGAGTGACTGTACCTAAAACCTAATGCATTCAAACTATTTCACCATAAACATTCTCCTCATTCATGAGCATCACAAAGAACTCACTAATTTGCGTTTTTTTTTTTTTTTTTCCCAGATCTACACTTTGTGGTTGATGACGACATCAAACGATGGGGTAATATGAAACTTGACACTGCTGGAAGGTCACTGATGACTGTCTTGCGCACTCTGAAACGACTGAGGGAAGTGCGCGGTCCAGGCAACCTCGTGCGATTTGCTGTAATTACCTAAAAATCCATCCAGACATTTTCCAGTGATTTTTCCTGTCTTTATTTCCTATTTTTAGCAAATCATGGAAGTAATTTTTTAGTTTCCACTTCTCATTGCACTTGGTTTAATAATCATCTGTCCTTATTTCTTACAGAAAAATGTATTTTTGCTGTTGATGAGTACAGTACTTTTGTGCTCAAAAGTTTACAGGTAGAATGGGCCTCAATCTTGGTGGTTTGATAATGTTGGAGCCTGATGGGACTGGGGCCCATTCAACCAGTCCATAACAAATCCTTGGAAGTTTTGTTTTATCATTAATTTTAGTCTGAACCTTTCTGAGATATTAACTATTTTACCACATGTGAGGTAATTAAAACATAAATTCGCCCTAGTTTTGTATATAATTCTCATCGGTTATCCATGGGAGGTCTTTGTATTGCTCCTGTTTTAATATTTTAAAATTTATGGGAAATATACTTTATGTACTCAAGACAACAAAGTTTTATCATTGTTGATATAACCTTTATACAGTTACATATTTTTCCAGTATGAGGGCCTGAGCTGCCACCATTTATGAGGGCTGCTACTGCCACCCTTCATGAGGGCCTGTGTGCCAGTAACAATTCCTTTTACTCTTATATATCACCATTGGTAGCGTGACGATAGGAGGCTCGTGGGTAAGTGTAATGATAGTATCAAGCAATAGGGAAGAAATAACGGTAAATACTGTAGGTAAATAATATACACAATTATACAAATACAAAGTTTATTTAAACATGAATATGAAATTAGAAGAAAGAATTGGTTGGTACTAACAGACGAAATCTATTACTAGGCCCTCAGGCTCAACATACTCACACCATTACTGGGTGGACATATTCAATACCCTTCCAACCCTACTGGGTGGACATACTCAATAGCACAACTAGGATAGTCACTTAGCACCATACATATTAGAGCAACTGCCACTACAACACTCAGTCGTCAGGAGTGATACTCAAGCAACAGCCATGGGGTCCAGCCACCATGGAGTACTATCCGACGAACTCTGGAGATCCCAGTGGGTTAATTCCACCACACAAATATAGCCCTACTGAGGTAGACATTCATCCACCAATGATGGGGGCTGGTAGTGGTGTGTGGCTTGGTGGTCCGGGTCACCTCGTGGACCGAGCGTTAGGGCCAGACGAGCCAGCTATGGGGGCTATAGGTGGTCTGAAGTGTCTGACGGCCGGGTCTCACGAAGGTAACTGATCCTACTGGACCTCGGACATGTCCCCAGACATAGTGGATACAACATCCACCCTACAGACACGGCCTAGGCTGCGTTAGGGACCTGTATGGATGAAGGGACGGGCACTTACTAACCGGTGACAACAACATCACGTTTCAGGGGACGTTAAAGACGTAAATATGACTTTACTCAGAGCATATCAACTACGTTACTGTAACACTTGCACAATCAACTATCAATTGGGTCAAATCACTTAAAGAAGGGCAAATTACAACACAGCGTGGAATGGCATACCTGTATGGATGAAGGGACGGGCACTTACTAACGGTTAAAATGCCCGCGTGCCCTCACTCAAACCAGACCAGGGAGTCCAGCTACTCCTATTCCAATGAATTAATTTACGGTACCCTCTGACGTTGAAATTGAGACTATGAACTCATTTTCATTCTCTACTATTATCTTCACTAACAATGCTCTGACTCAGCTATCGAAAGCAAAATTAAATTGATTACAAAGGAATGGATGGCAACAGGTCCCAGCATACAGCGTCTGCTCCCATAGACAAAGGCGGGGGAAACAGAGAAAACGGGGGACGTTTCCACTGGGGGACTCGGAAGGTTTTGTGGACGTTTGAGCGTAATATGAATCCTTAAGGTTTTCAGGTTAGCTCTTATCATGACCATTACAAAGCTTCCTCCTTCCCCAAGATTCATCATTATGCGGTAACGTTCAGAAAACACGTAAGTAGTGACATACATATTAAATCATTAATATAAAGTATAAATCCTCATACAAACATTGCACAAATTATATCAATAAAAATAGAAAAATAATTCCCTACCGGTGGTCAGGATTAGGTACAAGAAATGGAAATCTGTTAACATACAACTAGAATGTGACACACCTTCATAAAAAATATATTGGGATACATATTACAAAATAGCACCAAAAATAATAGCACATGGGGTTAGGTACATCATGTCATAATAATACTGAATGGCGGTAAATACATCATATCATATAATAATAAATGGTGTTACATACATAATATCATATAATAATAAATGGGGTCAAGTACATCATCATAGAATAATAATGATTTGAGTTAGATACCTCATATCATATAATAATAATAATAAATGGTGTTACATGTTACAAAATACACCCTCACATCGGTAGATAAAATGCACACTCAAAATTTCTTACAGAACTCAAATTTCAATGTTCATAGATTATGAAAGTTTCTTTTACGCGATTGGTCAAATGCTGACAGGACACACTGAGATTTAACATAGATTTCTCAAGCTAGGACATAGACGAACGGACCCCATCAAGTCAAAGGAATGATTTGTTGCCCTTAATCTAAAGAGTTATGTCGCACTCGCGAGAGGCAGCACCCTTCAAGGGACTCCGAACGAGCGGGTATTCCCAAGAATTCAATGCTAACGAAACGGTCCTCATGAGAACACCACCAAACCAAAAACTGTCTGTACTTATGGCATTTGCCATGTAGAAGTAATAGCACCATATTTATATGCCCGAATACTCCCTGAAAGTCACGAACTCTACACCTATATACCAACAACACCCAGCCTACGTAGGACTTACCAACCAGAACTTGAGAATTCACCACTGGTATCTTTACTCATACTAGTAACAGATACCCTTCAGATGATTGCATAACTGCCAATACATCTTCCAATCTCTGTCTTTACTGCAAATTGACCCTTCCTCTGCAAAATACTTTTAACCCCCCAAAAAAAAAATCCTCCATTTTTTTTTTTCTTCTTCAATTACCAAAAGTTACCTACAACAGATTGTGCACTTCACTACCCATCAACAACCAAGGAGGTTCACTTACAAAGCCCACTGTTTCTTAAAGATCCAGTCTAACCACTGGTTTTCTCCTCCTTTACCCATGGCTTTAGCGAGTTTAGCCAGAAGTGCTTGGACTTTTGTTGCTAAATCAACAGCGGCTTTGGCCGTCATGGTCCCCTTATTTGCGTTAGCATCTGCCATTGTGTTACAACAAATCAATACTACAGGTATACCCCACTGTAAATACAATACACGCACAGTGCTCACTCAAGACCCAAGGACTGGTACTGATTTTCTGCAATACGACTAACACTCCATGCATCAACTATTCAAACTACTGTTCAGATTATTAATCTCCCCAAAGATACTATTATGGCATCAAAAATTCACTTAGACACTTTGCCATTCACAGACTCAGTATGGTGCAACACTGCGTGAACACTTCACGAATTTCCGTACTCACAATTCTGGGTCCATACACTTGTATAACATTTTCCATATACCGTATCACCATAAGGTCCTCACATATATAATACTGTATTCTGAAAGTATACTGGCATTAGAGTTCACATAACATACGTTACACAAAATAATGACCCGTTAGCACCTGGTTAAAATAACTTTAAAATTATAGCGTATACATAGGAATATTAATAGTAGGAACTGTAAAATGCCCCGAGATATTAAGTAAATGGAATATATATCCTACCTAACACATAACTAAAGAATATTACAAATGCAGAATTAGCATCCACTTAACCTTTGCATATAGTGCAATGCTTCTGTTAGCACTCAGAATTAAAACACTGGGCACTCCCACGATGGAAACATTTCACAACTAGTGCCACGGCCCAAACATGTATTCACTGTCTGTAAGTAATACTGAGTTAACAACAGAAAAAAAATTTGGGCAGATTGTTACACATCAAAATTCTTCCACTATTAATGAACCTTATTCACACTCTACAAGTTATTGTTGCAGGTTTCCTTTTACTTTAAACAAGACTTTTTCTAACCTAACTCCAAGGTATTTCTTTGAACTTATTTCACTTTCTCTGCAAACCACCACAAAAAGCTGTACCTCGGAAAAATATGGAACAAAATTATTAGCAATCTGAAATACTCATTAGTTACAGTGGAATGGTTATTAAATACCCGTACAGAGAAATGGTTATAACTCAGTTAAACTACAGTATCACAGTCATTCCTCCCAACTCGATACTATGTTCATTACATCACCATAGCTGCCACCATTTATGAGGGCCTGAGCTGCCACCATTTATGAGGGCTGCTACTGCCACCCTTCATGAGGGCCTGTGTGCCAGTAACAATTCCTTTTACTCTTATATATCACCATTGGTAGCGTGACGATAGGAGGCTCGTGGGTAAGTGTAATGATAGTATCAAGCAATAGGGAAGAAATAACGGTAAATACTGTAGGTAAATAATATACACAATTATACAAATACAAAGTTTATTTAAACATGAATATGAAATTAGAAGAAAGAATTGGTTGGTACTAACAGACGAAATCTATTACTAGGCCCTCAGGCTCAACATACTCACACCATTACTGGGTGGACATATTCAATACCCTTCCAACCCTACTGGGTGGACATACTCAATAGCACAACTAGGATAGTCACTTAGCACCATACATATTAGAGCAACTGCCACTACAACACTCAGTCGTCAGGAGTGATACTCAAGCAACAGCCATGGGGTCCAGCCACCATGGAGTACTATCCGACGAACTCTGGAGATCCCAGTGGGTTAATTCCACCACACAAATATAGCCCTACTGAGGTAGACATTCATCCACCAATGATGGGGGCTGGTAGTGGTGTGTGGCTTGGTGGTCCCGGGTCACCTCGTGGACCGAGCGTTAGGGCCAGACGAGCCAGCTATGGGGGCTATAGGTGGTCTGAAGTGTCTGACGGCCGGGTCTCACGAAGGTAACTGATCCTACTGGACCTCGGACATGTCCCCAGACATAGTGGATACAACATCCACCCTACAGACACGGCCTAGGCTGCGTTAGGGACCTGTATGGATGAAGGGACGGGCACTTACTAACCGGTGACAACAACATCACGTTTCAGGGGACGTTAAAGACGTAAATATGACTTTACTCAGAGCATATCAACTACGTTACTGTAACACTTGCACAATCAACTATCAATTGGGTCAAATCACTTAAAGAAGGGCAAATTACAACACAGCGTGGAATGGCATACCTGTATGGATGAAGGGACGGGCACTTACTAACGGTTAAAATGCCCGCGTGCCCTCACTCAAACCAGACCAGGGAGTCCAGCTACTCCTATTCCAATGAATTAATTTACGGTACCCTCTGACGTTGAAATTGAGACTATGAACTCATTTTCATTCTCTACTATTATCTTCACTAACAATGCTCTGACTCAGCTATCGAAAGCAAAATTAAATTGATTACAAAGGAATGGATGGCAACAGGTCCCAGCATACAGCGTCTGCTCCCATAGACAAAGGCGGGGGAAACAGAGAAAACGGGGGACGTTTCCACTGGGGGACTCGGAAGGTTTTGTGGACGTTTGAGCGTAATATGAATCCTTAAGGTTTTCAGGTTAGCTCTTATCATGACCATTACACCAGGTATTGTTGTCATTTAAATAAAAGTGCCTCAGATTTCAAAATCAAAATCAATTCTTTCTATTGCAAAGTCTGAGAACTACAGCAGAATACATGAGTGGCTGAGTTAGGGTTATAAACATTATTCTCACAGGAGCTGATGACACAAAACAAAAGCCACAAAAGGTTTTCTGTTTTTCAAGCCAAGATAATTTCACACCAGTGCTCTAGGAAAACATGTATGTACACTATTTTAATATGCATTTACAGTTGTCTAGAAATTTTACAAGCTACCTATTGAAAGGAAGAAACTTTAATTTAGTTTACAGTAATATAATTTCATTGCATTGGTCTGGAAAAAGTAAAAAAAATTCAGTATATGACCTTAGCAGGAACCTAGGTACAAACAGCTTAAATATCTGGGTTTACTTGTGGCACTGGACAGTAATGTAGAGTCTTCTGTAAGCAAATCTTTTGGACAAAATCAAACCCATCTGGTTGGAAAGTGTGTGTGTGTGTATGTGTGTTATACATAAAAGTGTTTTTTCAATCATTTGTTATTAACACTTGGGGTTTTCTTGTACAAAATTGTGTATGATCAAAATTATTGCTTAAGGGTTTTCATACACAAATTTGCGAATGAAAAAAGCAAAATAAATTAATTTTATGTTTGCGTATGAACGCTAGACACTCAAGACGTACATTTGGCAATGTCAGCGCGATCTGCTAACTATGTAGATTGCACTCTAAGGTCACCACACCAGTTTCCATTTTGTGTTTAAAGGACCCAGGATATAATGTTAAACCATTTCCCACAGCTTGTGTTAATTTCTTAAGCATCACATTTATTCATAACAGTGTTGTGAGAGTTTTGAACCATGCCTCGTGTTGCTGCCAAAGGTGGAGGGGTGGGAAAATGTAAAACATGCAAGGAAATTGTACCACATGGTGATAGTGTGGTGCCTCCTGATGCCTCTCCCAGTGTCCCTGTCCCTTCAACAAGCAGTCCTAGTGCTATGACTCGATACAGTACAGTACTGTATGTACAATTATCTTTTGCACTCGGAGGGAAAAATTAATAATATGTGCTTGGCCCGGGCGCGCTCATCATACCGCCAAATTTACAACACTGTTTCCTCGCAAAATATTAGTTTTTTCACAACTTTTCGGCTGTAACTATTTTTTCCTAAATATGTATGCTTTATAATGGAATAAGGTTCATATTGCAATCACATGAAATAATAAAGGTAAAAGTGATATATAAATATTTTCATTAAGCATAAACAACACCTACATATAGAAGTATGGTAATTATTTTATCAGGATTACTCATAAAATTGTTTGTATATAATTTATTTACCATGTACAGTAATTGCAATAAATCCCACCTTTTTATCTCGCATAGCAAGCTTGCTACGACTCATTTCGTACAATTATCTCTTGTGTGATGCAGTCAAGTGCAATGAGGTGAGTAACAGGCCAGACCCGGTGGCGTGATACGAATTCATGCCAGGTGAGGGCTATGTGCGCTGCCCCCGACTCATTCCGACCTCTCTCCACTCGTTTACACTTACCATGTGTCTCCTACTTTGTGTTTTTCCGTTATTTCCAACTTCGTGTGGCATGCAGTCATGCCTAAACGCCCCAGCTTGATGTGATAAGGCGTAATAAGAGTGGTGATAGACCAGCAAGAGTGGTAGAGACTTGAACTTGCCACCTTGACCATCTCCGCCATCATCAACACAGGTAAATAACAGTCTCAATTTATGCTTTATATTCCTTAATTAATACTTGTTATTCTTGCTTTATATTTCTGCTTTATTTCCTAGCTTGACAGAGATATGGTAGATAGGAATTTTTTGGGGGGTGGCCAGTCCCTAACCCCTTAAATTTGTTATATTCTTATGGGATTAATTGCTTCAATTACAGTTGATTCACTAACCAGAGACTTTTCACAGTCCCTAAATGTGTCAGTTATTTGGGTATTAATAATTTTGAGACAAGATATGTGTGCCCTTTACCTAACCAGTCTATTGTGATCTAATTTAAAATATGTGCTGAGTTTGCGTACTTTTTTATGTACGAAATGTCAGTGCTGTCTGTGTGTTGCACACTTTACCATTATCAAGTATCAACAAAATAATCAAGGCATGGGCATCCACAAGGGATTGCACTTGCACCCCCTGGAAAATTAGAAATGTTCTTTTTCCTGCAGTCCTTGTTCACAGTATGTGTATGATATTACAAGTTTTTAAGTGAACTGTTTGTTCTTTAACGTTCCCATAACAGTCACTTGTGGTAAGCTGGTACTTTGGACAATTCCTCTGTGTGGGAGAATTACGATGTTATTGACAAGAGCAACAACTGGTGCCTGGGCTTGGCTGGCCGACTCAGGTAAGATCGCCATGATGTCCACATCACAGAGGAACTGTGTACAGTATACCTGGTGTTAGGTATTATTTTAGTTATTTTATTAGCAATTTTCAGAAAGAATTTGCATATTATAAAAAAAAATTTATAACTGCCTTGTCATAATTATGATATTTGGGTAACTGCACAATTTGTCTAGTAATTATAAACATTATGTAATATTCGTTAATATTATTATTCAAAATGAATATAAGGCTGATCAGTGGCGAAGAGGATAAAATAAAGTACAGTACACTAAAGTAAAATACTATACACCCCCTGTAATTCTGTATCTTGCAGCCATAATAAAGAAGTCCTCCCATGTAAAAGTTCCATTTTCTTTTATCGACCCACAGAAAATGGACGTAAATAATAGTTTCATGAACGAGTTTAAAATGGTGGGCTTTTACTATTAAATGCGGGAATTAAATTACTTTGAATGAGTTTAAAGGTGTTAACCGTAGTATTAAAATAACCAATCGAGTATCACTAATTAAATGGGTAATAATAATAATATAGGTTAAAGTAAAAAGGAAAAAATCAAGGCCACTTTTAATTAATAGTCTCTATCCTATAAGACGTTTGATATCGTGTTTGTCCAAGATAATTACTATATTTAGCTTATTTCTTACACCCATGGGTATTTGTATATTATGTATAAATGTATTAATAAAATATAAAATAATGAGACCACAGTAAACGGCATCACGTGGTCAGTCGTCTGCAGCTGAGTCAACATGGCTCTTCGCCTATTTTCCACGGCTTTTTTTAAGAGATTAACCTTACATTCACCTGTCAAAAGTTCTTATAGAGCTTTGTCTTCTTGTTCTAAAAGATATACTTCAGGTAAGATTGATAGCTCTTTTGGTTACATAGAGCCTTTGTATAACATGATGTACCGGGGTGCTGTTTGTGGCTCCTTATGGTACCGGTAAAGTAGCTTGATATCCAATTCACTGTGTCCATATTTACTATCCTGGTGGCTTTGATTATAACTGGTAATGTCTGAGAACAGCAGTATCACCAGAAGTTGTTGGATTTCGTTCATTTTTTTCCACAGATATTCTTGTCATTATATTAAAGTATTTTAAAGGCAGTGGATATTTTGCCGTGACTGGTGTAGGGTCATTGCCTGTTTTTTTTAGTTATCGGGGGTTTTGGATGGGGCGTTTTCCGACCAAAATTATGACCAATTGAATACAAAATACACACAAAAAACCCCTCGAAAAACAGGCATATAAACCTAACCTAACCTAACCCGGTCAATTTATAGTAATGCACCGTTCTTTCTTTGGATATTAGAAATGTGTTTTAGAAATCATAGAAAATCACACCCACAAAAAAAGGTAATATTGCAGTAAAAAGCAACCACAGAATTCCGGAAATTCACTACACTCAATTGATAGATCTATTTTTTCTATAACCATTTTCTTATATTACACTTCTGTTGCAAATTGAGCTATGGCCTCCTGGGGCTTGGTTAGGGAGTTAGGTAAGGTTTAGTTTTGTTATATTGTATAAGTTAGCAAGCACAGAGTACCGGGAATTCATAACACACAATCGATAGAACAATTATTTCTACTATTTTTTTTTCATTGGTTGCTGTAATCTTCAATTTTACAATAAAAAACAACAACCAAACCTAACCTTGTTAGGTTAGATAGAATGGTTCAAAAATATAAAAAGACCTGGACCGTGACTCTGGTGGCATTTAGTATTTATTTTGCAGTGAGTGGGTCGTTGTGTAGCTATAAACAGACCTAACCAGAAGGAGTTCTTTGATTTTGGTCATTTTTTCCATATGTTCTTATTTTAAAAAAGGTGACATTTACTAGAACCTAATAGAACCTGACCTAATCAACCAAAGAAACCTCACCTAACTTCCTAGCTAGCGGGCGGAGCCTCCCTGACCCTTCGTGATATTAAACATAAAGTTCTTATTGTTATATCTAGCACCAATGAAAGGAATTTTGTTGAAGCGTCATGGTGTAATTTAATGTTTTTTGTGGGCATGGGAGTATGCTAGGACCAAGCGGGTTGGCTGGAAACAAATTAAATGTGTGCTGTATTATGGTAATGGTAGGGTATTGGATTGATAGATATATGAACAGCATTAGAATTTCATAATCAGATGTTTTTTAAGGTGTGATCAAATTGAATTAGCTACTATAGGTGTCCACACACAGCCTCACTTTCAGTAAGCTATTTACAAAACATATTTTATATATTTATATCATTATCCCAATCAGTTTTACGTTAAAGTGTGTGTGTGTGTGTGGACCATATTCCTCCTTTGGGCATCACAAAGGGAACCCTTGACATAACCCTACCAAACCTAACTTAACCAGACTGTAGGGGAATACAGTTCAATTCGGCCCATTGCCGACTTGGACCATCAATACCAACTCGGACTAAAAAGTAAAAGTTTACACGTTTATTTTTGCATGAATGATAAAAGTACAAAAGTACAATGATAAACAGCATCATAGATTACTGATAACCAGCCACGTGATGTGTGTAGCCATTAAATAAAATCACAAGAAAGTACTTAAAACTTTACCCTTTAATCTATGCGTGAATGATAAAAGTACAATGATAGAAAGCAGCATAAAAGTACAAACATTACTGATAAACAGTCTCAAGGTCTGAGGTTGACGAGTTCCACAATAATTTAAATAATGAGTTACTTAATGCATAAAGGCAAAATATACCATACAGAAAACTCAGATCAAATAAAAATTACCCCAAATGGTTAAATAATTATTTAGAGAATATTATTGGCCAAAGGAAGGTTATTGGTTGGAGAATAAATCGTGAAGTTTACCTCCGAGATTATTATAAGGTATTGGCCAGTAGGGTTAAGACTGAGATAAGAAAAGCAAAGGGGAATAATGAACTGAAGGTAGCAAGGGAGGCGAAGTCAAACCCCCAAGGGATTCTTTCAAATATATCAAACTGAAACGAGACAAGGTTGGACCAATACAGTCAGATACCGGTGAGCTAGTTGATAACGATCCAGAAATGAGCAGTAATCTGAACGGATATTTTTCAACAGTTTTCACCACCGAAAATTTATACATGATACCCGAGGCACCGACTATATACAGAGATAGTGAAGAAACTAGATTAAGCGAGATAGTAGTGACTAGTAACGATGTTAGTAAGCAAGTAGACAAGCTAAAGCCTAATAAGTCACCAGGTCCCGATGAGATATTTGCCAGAGTATTAAAGGAATGTAAGGAAGAGCTTAGTATGCCCTTAGCAATTTTTTTAAACATGTCATTAAAAACAGGTGTAGTACCAGAATCCTGGAGGATAGCGAATGTAATACTGTAGTATTGATTTTCAAGAAGGGAGATAGATCACTACCCTATAACTACCGTCCAATCGGTTGAACATAAATTGTAGGCAAATTGCTGGAAGCAATAATTTCAAACTCTATTCGAAATCACCTGGAGAAGCACAAGTTACAAATGTGAATCATGGTTCACTGATCAAGTTCTTCTGACATTAACTCATAAAATTCGTCCTTCATATCGATTGAACCCTCGGTATTCACTCATTCACACTCCATATTTCAGTGAACCAAAGGATACGTAAAAAAAATCTCAAACTCATTCCTGAACCTCTAGTCGCCTACTTGTTTGAAGTGTGCAAGGTGGGCCGAGTTAGTAATGTGTGGGCTCAGTTGGTTATTTCAGATGGGCCAAGGTGGAGGTATGCCACTGTAGGGAACCCTTGACATAAACCAAACAAACATAACCTAACCAGTCCAAACAATATTTGTTTAGATTGGTTGAATTTTGTCTTTTTTTTCACGAATTTGTAAATGGCGCACTATTATAGTACGGGACAGTATTGCATTAGTGTGTACTGTATGTACTGTACAGTATCTCTGCAAATGTGTCACAGGCAGTAATTACTAATTTGGAGATGTGGCATTTCAGGGCAATATGGATGCAGCATTCCAATGTGTCGCAGGGTCCATACAACATCTCAACTGCTCCAGGAAGCTGTACAAACAAATGAACCCCAAGCATATGAATTTCAGGCCGAGACTCGCATGCTTTTGGATATTGTAGCAAAGTCTCTCTACTCTGAGAAGGAGGTGTTTGTCAGAGAACTTATTTCTAATGCTTCAGACGCCATAGAAAAGGTAGGAATTAGTTTAGAGACTTTATCGTTTGTCATTTTTGTGGTATTATTCATTTATAATTTTTTTACATCTATCCTCAAGAACTGATATTTTCTAAAGGTACTTCATTACACGTTTCTTTAGTCTGTGAAGAGAATTCTATGTTTGAGGAATGATTTTTGTACAGGTTAGAAATAAGTGTGTCTGGTGCTTATGTCCAGGTTGTTCAGTTCTGTAACTTTCCATTACCAGGCTCGATACTTGGCTCTACAAGGCAAAGAACTAGACTCTTCTGAGGCTGACATGAAAATTCACATCACCACTGACAAGTATGATAAGACACTGACCATCCAAGACTCGGGTATCGGCATGAGCAGAGAAGAACTTATCGATAATTTGGGTACTATTGCCCGCTCTGGCTCAAAGGTGAGATATTAATAATCACCTGGAGATACTGGTACCTTAACAATATTTAAGTCACATGCATTGGTTATATTTTGTACTCTAGTTATGAAATGTGAAGCCGAGGTTTGGAGAAAGTTTGTGTGGCTGTCAGTGGCTTAATTACCATATTAATGCTGGGGATAAAAGAAAGAGAATCTTTGTATTTATTGGCAAAGGTAATGTGAGTGGGGGTAAAGTAGTACAATTCTGTGCAGTATAAGTTTCATATAGTTTCTACACTTATTAACATTTTTTCTCTTCAATTCCCTCCCTTTTATAAGACTGCAGACCTGTACATTACTGTAGTACAGTATACTATTAATGTTATATAAAAAAAATTATTATATTCACTATTCATTATGTACAGTAACTTGATAATTTACCGTCGCTAATACTGAGACCAATGGCACCATACTTTAGATTGCTGTGTATCAATGGCCTTATAGTGTATTTTTTTTACTTTGATTATCTTAAATAGCTAAAATAACTGCCTCTTGTTTATTTATTTATTTTTCATTTATCCCTAATAAGCTATACAGACTTTTTTTTTCTTAATTTAAATGACTGCTCATAAACTTTACTGCGTATAAGGGATATTTTGGTATGAAGTTATAAACTGAGAGTTGCTGTTACTGTACAGTATTCTATTTTCTGTTTTAGTGTAACAAAAATATGAACAGAGAATCTCATTGGTACAGTTTTGCCTGGTTTTAATGTGTTCACCATTCTTAAAGACCTATTATTCTAACTTTCATTGTTAAATTGTTAAATATATATAAGTAATGTTAGTTCAAATGCCCAAAATAGGCCTAACTAATCCCGCTGAGCGAGTGGCATCTTTTATTTATTGGAAAACACGAATATTTTACACTGTAATATTATTTGAGACATTATAGTACCTTCATTACCAATGTTACAGGCTTTCATCCAGCAACTGCAGGAAGGTGGTGGTGCAGATCCACAGAGTATTATTGGTCAATTTGGTGTTGGCTTCTACTCGGCATTTATGGTAGCTGAGAAAGTTGAAGTCTTCACAAAGTCTCGCTTACCTGGTAGCATTGGCTACATCTGGGCATCAGATGGGTAGGTGATAAGATCTTCGGTGCATGCACACTTATTTATCCATTTTTTACTGTCCAAGTCTATTTCAGCATTGATGGCTCTGTAGCTATGTTTGTAGTTTTGTGTGCAGGTGTCAGTAAACTTTATTATCTTCTATATATGTACAAAACTTCATAGCTTTGCTGCATTTATACTGCAGTTCTATATTACATTAATATGGCATACCTCTGTTGAACATCCTTGTTATTTGTACTTTTTTCTCAATAACCAACTAAGCAGAGTGTAAAGTAAAGTGTACCTGTTGTGATGTACTGTATTGGTTTACCTTATCTTGTTTACCTTGTGGCTGTCACATCTAGTGTTGAGCGGCCTTGTTAGGGGAAATAATGGTAAGAATGGTGCAAAACATCTATAGAAAATACACTAATAAGAAAGAGATAAGACAAAAAGTAGAAGTATCTGCACTTGCTAATATCATGAACTTAGTTTTGCAGTATACAGAGTGAATCTTATAATTTACATTAATTTACAACACTTCATATTAACTGACAAAGCTGAGTCATCAGGTTTGTTCTTGTCACTGCTGTCCTGGGTGAAACAACTCCACTGTTCAGTCCAGATTCATTCTCCAGGCATTATTACATGAGATGCCTCTAAACCTTAATATTTATGTTTAGTTTAGCTCAGTGAGTGTTAATTATTTTTATTTTGACAGGTGTGGAAAGTATACCGTAGAAGAGTGTCAGAATGTTGAGCCAGGGACTAAGATCATCTGCCATCTCAAGGTCGAAAACCGCGAATTTGCCGATGAGCAAACTATTAAAGGTAAGGCAGCAAGTGAGGGAGAGTTACCTGTAGTATTAGTCTTGATTCTGGCTTTGTGAGTGTGAAAATAACAATGATTGGAATGTGTCCTGTTAAATCCTACCAGACTGTTAAGAATATGTGAAGTAAAAAACTTGAAAGAATAGTAATAAATTTTGGAATACTTGAAGATTAGCCCCCCTGCTTATTTCACATTGACATTAACCACCCTGATGCTAACCTTCCTGGTAGCATTAGTGTGTTTAGTCATCAAGTGAAATACGCAGGGGTGCCTAATATTCAGGTGATCCAATAAGTGAAATCTGATTACAGTATCATATAGTCATGGAGAAACCTGTAATTAACATTTGTTTTAACCTTACAACAATAGTAAGTACAGCATCTCTCATCACTAGACCAAGTAAAACGTTCTTGACGTGACCCCAGACTCGAGAGAATCATCGCTTGAAATGAGAAAGAAGGTGCTTGCATTTCTACTAAGTAATTCTTTAGACTAGGTTTTAATGGGAGAAGGTCAGGAATATCTATTTGAATACAATGAATAAATAGTATGATCTAAAATAATTAGAGATATAAAAACGTGTTTACAAAAATAATCACGTAAGTAAATTTCCCCAGCCGACGTCGCAAAAACTCAGGCTTTGTTCACAATTCGTAACCACGAAAGAATTAGACACTTACGCTACTAGATTAAAGTTATAAGTATGTGAATTAACATAGGAGTTCTATATAGGAACAGTAAAGTAATGTTAAACCCCACAGTTTGTATGGAGCGGGAATGTATGGCCACAGATATGCAGTACTGTAAAAAATATATAAACCAAATTCCCATGACACAGTGAGTTAAGCGAGATTATGTGTTGCTTGTGACTTAGTGCTCTCCTGTATAATAGGAAAAGATCTTCCAAAAATGAAATAAGAATCATGTTTCATCAGTGTAGTGATCGCAATTTCCTTAACTTCTTTAATAACTCTCTTAAGACAATTACTCTCCATGTCGACTCTTATTATGCATTAATCTACATTGAGTTATTTTTTTTTTTCAGCCTTTCCATAGTCTTGAATACTATTCATGTACAGTACAGTATAATTATACAATATTGTACTGCATATTTTTTCTCCAGATGTCATTAAGAAATACAGCAGCTTTATAGGATCTCCCATTGAGGTGAATGGTGAGCAAGCTAACAACATAAAACCTATTTGGCTCATGGATCCTAAGGAGGTGTCCCCTGATCAACACGATGAATTCTACCGCTATGTGGGGTCAGCGTACGACAAACCTCGCTTTGTACTTCACTACCGCACAGATGCCCCGGTAGATCTTCGATGTGTCCTGTACGTTCCCGAGGGTAAACCAGGTATGTGCCATGCTGCTTCTGTAAAGTAGGTATTACTGTATACATGAAATTAGGGATAGTAACTTCTGTTAATGGGAAAGTAGCTCTGGTTGATCAATTAAAGTCATGTGAGCAGGAGGATAATTTAGAAATTGGAGTATCTCATTTATAGATAGGTGAAAAGCTTTCATAGATGGGAGAATGGTAGCTGTTGAAAGAAGAATAACTGATAGATAGGCATAAAACTTTTGTAGATTTGAGAATAACTTTGATGATGGGTGAGGTGAATAACTTCCCCCCTGGTCTTCTTGTCTATCACCTTCATTCAATACCCAGGTCACTAGGATAGAACACAGTGACATTCTGACATGAAAAAAAAAAACTATTTGCTGCACTTTCCTAAGAACTTCTGGAATAGAATACACCAACAAGGTCCTTACCAATATTCCACCTTCTCTTTGCCTCTTTATAACTCATTGAGAATATAGAGGCTTTACTCTATACAACCTGACTCTTTTGTTTGTGATATATAACACTGAAACAGCTGCTATATCAGCTTAAAGACTGCTTTGTTCTTGGTGATATTCATGTTAAGGTGATAGGTCAATTGGGCCCTTGTCTTAATAGAACCTAACCAATGATTATGATTTGGGGCCCAGTCCTGATGACTTCGTTGGAGCCTGTTGGGGGTGGGGCCCATTTCACATGCAATGATTTAATAGAACTGTTCATTAAATCCTCTTGATTTGGGACTTACAGGGGTGAGAAAGCCAGTCCTTTTTTCTTTAACTGGCAAAAGGCTACTCACCTCTTGCCCTTTCCATGCTTGGAAGCCATAGCTAGAGCACTAAAAGTAACACAAAACCACAGAGTGAATAGAACACAGCATGACTAACCACACATGACACTAAAACAGTGTTTATTTAGGAGGGCTATTCACTAAGAACTTGAGTACATGAGCAAGTGGAGGTGGGCAATGACTCTACATCATGCACTGCTCATGTGCATTTACCGTACAGTATAGGTGGACAAAAACCTCAAATTATGTGCTACTCATCAAATGAGTAAGTAGTGGTGGGTACATCACTACTCTCGTGGGAGGTCACCGTGTGGGCCACCATCAAGGTATATGGGTAAGGTAGCACCGTATTGGCTTGGTGTAAATCCTCGTTGGCAACTTTTTTTACTCGGCTCTGCCCCGTTGGCCATATGGCTTCCAGAATACATAAGCATTAGTATGAGATCGTTTTTCTGATTCTAATTTACTGGAACAATACATAATAAATTGGTCTTTTTTCATAAATCCATGATATACAATATTTATTATGAAATATACAAAATATATTATGATAATGATCAAATTATAAGAATAAAAATCAGGAATTAGCACAGTAAAAAAATTCCAGACAAAAATCCAGTGTCATTAATAAATATAGTATATATATATTATCTTGATCATTTAATAATTGAGCATTCACAGTTGACAAAATGACCAACTGGGTGGAGCCAAAAGATGTATTCATGGATTAGTCATTTTTTCAATTACTTACAGAGCCTTTTGGGCTGGATTATATTTGTGGGGCCCTAAGCCATTACAGATGCTGGCTCTTAAAGGGAGAGAAGAGTATAAAATGTAGTTTCTAGGGGCCCGGGGCCTGGTCACCTGGGAAATTTTGAAAATTAAGGTCCTTTTAGGCTGTCTTCTGAAGGAGAGTGCAATGAATGGTAAGGTCATCTGAAATGGTATATGTAATCTAAAGATATTTTTAGGCAAAACCAAACATTCTGTGAGGCATTTTGTTCTCTGTATTGGGTGAATGAAACTGATTGTCAGAAAAAGGAACAATAACACAAGTGAAGTGAACCAGAAAAACATGTAACTTTATTATATCACTCAGTAGAATAACATAATGATAGGCCTATCCCAGTAATGTGAAAAACAAATGAAATTCATTTGACAGCTCTCTTACGTGTTTTGCTGCAAGCAAATTCATGAATAGCATGTTCAAAGTTAAGTGTTTGAGTAATATCTGACTCAATGGTGAAAATAGAAAGGTCGCCGAGTCTGTCTTGGGTAACAGAAGAACGTAATCTGTTTTTCACGTGCTTGAGAACTGAAAATGAACGTTCTACTTCTTTGTTTGCCGCTGGCAATGTCAGGTAAATCCTCAATGTTATTTCAACATTTGGAAACACTTCAACAAAATCCAATCTTCGAATATACTCCAACATCTACTAAAGTGATGAAAGATCTTTCTTTAATTTGGAGAGGTGCCCAGAGAAATTAATCATCCCATCAGGAAAACTTTCTTCCAAATCTGCGCAATACGTTGTCTGTAGCTTTGAAGCAAGAGAGCAAATTTTGTCAGTAGAAAGTGTTCACAGTTCAAACAGCAGTCCAAATTGGTAACGAAGTACAGTGGTCCCTCGGTTAACGAGCGCCTCGGTTAACGAGATTTCGGTTAACGAGTTACCTTCCATAAGATTCTTAACTTCGGTTAACGAGCAATCCCTCGATTGACGAGTTTCTTACGAGCCGACCTGAACATGTTTTCGCTTGCATTTGGCGGTCCACCAGCTGTAGTATTAGTCCGCCAGTACAGTAATCGGTTCTAGGGCTTAAATTCCTTACCATTTTAGTAAATATCAAGAAATTTATACTATTCAATAATTTTAAAAGTTTAATATTAAATTTTTTAGTAATTTTAACAAATATTGAACATGCCATCCAGCCTGCCAACACAGCATACAGACGTCAATCTTTGTGTCTTTTCAGTGGAGGTAACATCTTGCTTGAGACTCTCTTCAACTAAATGCTTTTTTTCTGTGTTTGCAAGCAAATTATTGGTCATTTTCAAATTTATTTTACATATTGACAATATATAATGCAGTGCAGTGTTGATTTAAAGAACATAATCTTGAATTACACCAAGAGAACTAAAATTTTATGGGTGAAATGGCACCATAGGGTGACTTCTCTTCCACCCCAATGCCTTCTCTTCTCCTCCACCCCCATTCTAATCCCCTTCATCATCATCCAGGAACCTTCTACATACACACCTCAAAGTAAGTGTACTTTTCTACCTTTTTTGTTGAATTTAGGCAATTTTCGGTGAGCTGGAACCAATTACCCCAAAACCCATTGAAACAATGGTTTCGGTTAACGAGCAACCTTCTAGAACGGATTGTGCTCGTTAACCGAGGGACCACTGTACTGCATACTGTATACAGTACGTCCAGATCATTTGCAGATTTTTATTTTGCAGTCCTCTATTATTCGCAAATGATACCCTAGATGTATCCAAGAATGTCTAAGGGTAGTTTTAAAGTTGCTGGCATTTTTGTGGCCAGGACAGGGAGCCATTACTTTTAAGAGACAGTAATTTCACTGACCTGTATTGTATATTTGTGTGTGAGTGTGCAGACACACACACACAAAACACATACAAATAAATAATAATGGGAAAATCCTCTCACAAATAATCAGAAGAAAAAATTATTAAAAATGTTGAGTCTATCCTCAAGTGCACTTCGTGCTTTATTAATAACAAAGCATGCAGTGGACTTGAGGGTAGAACTCAACATTTTTTACAATTTTTTTCTTCTGATTATTTGTGAGAGGATTTTCCCATTATTATTTATTTGTATGCATTTTGTGTGTGTGTGTCTACACATATATACAATACAGGTAAAAGAAATAATTGTCCTTAGGGCAAACACATAAAGGGAGCATACATTTCTTTGTACATCAAGCCTTCATACAAGTGAACAACTGTAGACAACTCAATTGTTTCCTTTTGCAGTGCTTTGCTTGTGGTATTGACCTGATGCCAAACTTTGTCCCACAAAATGCACAAAATGGTATACTGTACTCATATTTTTCCATCTTTCTAGCCAAAGATGATGCTTCACTTCATGTCTGTGGAAATAGCTTGCAAACCCGAATAAATTTTTTTATGCCTCCTTCAATGCCTGCGTTGCATCATATCTGGAGGACCATTTTGTATTTGACAAAGACTTTGGAACAATACTATGCTGATGCAGAAAATCTTTTGAGTAGCTTCCAACGACGTGTAGATGCCGAAAAAAAATTATAGAGCTTGCATGAATCCAAAAAATTAAACTGCATTGACACAACATTCTGCAGCACATGAATTAACTAGATTTAAAGAATGTGCTGAACAAGGAACAAAATGAGCAAGAGGATTTGTTTCATAGTCTTTACTGATATCCTGAATACTTTCCTGCCATGTTGTCGTAACTTTGTCCTCGACTGTTAGAAATGGGAATATCAAGGTCATTCAGTGTACTTAGCACAACATTTGTTAGATGTTCAGCATCATGCCTCAATTTCAATGAATTTTAGAAACCTTTCAACTGGTATACCATCTGCACTTATACTGCCCATTCTGGGGTCACTAATCCTAAGGGAATAACTTAAATCTACTCTTAACATTAAGCTCGCTGCCACCAGACCCCTTGGACAGTATGTAGCTTGTTTAGGTAACTGGCAGAGCAAGCCAGGCACTGGGTTGGGTTTTTCATTGACCAAATCAAAAGTGGAAGGAAGGTTGAAACATCAATCATAACTTAACTAATTTATTTCCTAATAAAAAATATTGCATTCAGTCACAATACAAAAATAGTTGACCTTCAACAAAATAACTACTATTAAGGTCATTACACCTCACACAAATACACAACCTTCTCCAAAAAAATTAATTAAAATCTTCATTCTTCATAACAAATCACTGACCTCCATACTCGGGTCATTCTTTATACAATCACCCAAAAATACTTCGTCTTCCCAACATTTACAGCGCCAATCTTCCTCGTAGCACCAAGGTAGACATGATCGGTACCCCGCTCATATTCTACTCTTGCTAGGTAGATGGGATACTTCCCAGGTAATCATGCCAGTGTTAGTTTCTTAAGTCGCTCTAAGCAGCGCCCGCGAAACTTGTCAAACACACAATCATACTCTCCTATCCTGGGTGTTGACAGGTAGTGTATCCACAGATTCACCGTGGAGTTTGCATAGTGGCCGTAAGCAGTGCACACCACACCCGGTTGGTTCCTCACATTAGAGTGGTGGTGGCTGCTAGGCCAAGCGTGTCCTCTAATCTCATGGGCGGCCTTCGCTTTTGGCGTACACCTGTGAGAAGTCGGGCGTCACAGAATAATGCCTGAGGGGCTTCTATATCACCACACACACACTATTACAAATCTATTACTTCACTATATAACATTAGACAAGGTTTCAAGATGTATAATAAATGCTAGATAAGCATCTCGAGTGCTGATGAAACACGAGCTGGAGTTAACTGACCTTTTTTTGGCGAGAATTCGGGCGTCACTGAGGGTGAGCCGTAGCATCTCGCACTGAACTAGGCCTACAGTTTTAAATCTTTAATTTTCACTTTGACACTATTCTGGTTCTCACATGTACACTTTCTCATCTATTGTGACTTTATGCCTTATAATTACATATCTTAATTCTAAATTACATACTAAAGTAAGAGTCTTGTTTGCTAGCTCCTAGAGAAATTAATTGGGCTGTATCATTAACTCCGAACCGTAGCCCGGGGCGTCTTGGGCGCCAACAAACAAAGAAAAGCCTTGGTTCTTGGCTTGGGTATCCCTTTCACTTAAATCTCTAAGTATGGTTCATTCCCCCCACACTTTGCAATTGTTCAACACATTCATAAGGTTTTCTAATCATCGCACTTCCGGTGGTCATTCGTCACATGGGGTAACGGTGTGTATTAAGTACACAATGAGGTGCACACGATATTTTCTTTGAAGTATAGTTTCTGGGTCAACCCCAACACTTCACATATGTCTGATACGTTTATCCTTTTTCCAGATCATTGTCTTTATATATTTTCATTCGATACCTGAAGTAGCTATGTTCAGTTATCGTACACAGACGAAAATACGGACCTTCCAACACCGTGGTACACAGTATCCTTATCCCTTCATAGTACACTGGACTGTATCAATTGGACCTTCCCAATCATACTATAGATACCTTGATTTCTCCTTAATACTATCAGTACATACACTTAATATGATATGCCCGTACATTGGTGCAATTCGTATAAAATAACATACAGCAGGTGAGTTATCCCTCACAAAAGTTTCCCATTTTCTGTGACACTCTACAAGCACGGTGGATTTGAATGTTATGCAGCGTAATATGAATTGAAGAGATATTAAGGATGACCATGATGTGCGCAGTACACACTCACATAGCGCAATATGAAAACTTAATGATCTGAGAGGGTAATGTCTGGTGTCGAATCTACACTTATGCTGTAGTACTTGGCTGCCTTCACTTCCGACACAATAGCAGTCATAATCTGCTTAGCCATCAAATGGATAAATTCATTGCAAACTGTTGATGAAAGATATGAAGGGATACCACATCCTGCATTACGGAATCTGTTCAAATGATCCGCCAGGAAAGCATCATACTGTGCAAGCAGTTCGATTATTCCAAGAAAGTTCCCATTATTCCTAGAGCCTATCTGCTAAAAACTTTACAACAGAAACCACTCTTTTTAATGTATTCTTCCAGTACTCTTTTTCTTTTTGTAACTGTCTAAACAATGTCTTATCTACTTGCTCAGTTTCATAGCCAAGAGAATGACATGCAAACATAAACTCTGTTCATTATATTGTTTTCATGCTGACTGACTGGAAGAAAAACTTTACAATCATAGCAAAAAACCATGCCACTTTAAGTACCTGGTTCTTCCATCATCATAAGTTTTAGTTGAGGTTTTCAGGTTTAGTGCCTCCAAGCCCTGTTCAAGCTTTTTCTGAGGAAAGTAATCGTGCAATTCATGTGTAATGTCAGTCCATAATGTGGGATCCTCAGGATATATCACTGTTTGTCCTGTATCAGGTACAGTATTATACTAATGATACTGAGTACTGTATTATCAACTTCAGCTGAAGTCATTACCTATTTGAGGTTTGGTACCAAATCATGCTTCCTCATTACCAAACATATTTTTCATTACCAAATTTGCCCCGATTTGGTAATGAATGATGTCAAATGGCAGTGCTGCTCGATTCTGTTTTCTTCTACTCCGGTTAAGGGGAAACTTAGCTAGGCCTCATAAGGGGCGCAAAATTTTCTCTATACGGCTTCACAACATGTAATACATATGCTGATAAAGTACAGTATACTATTTAGTTTGTAACCATTATAATAATCCTCATAGAAAATTTATTTCATGGAGGATTTTGTCCATTTTCTTAGGGCCACGTTCATTACAGTAAATCCAGCCCTGACCACGGGACCCCTTGGGGCGCGGGGCCCTTGGCCTACCTGGCCTATGCCTTACACCGGCCCTGCTTATGGGAGTGATGCTACTCTTGTTTGTTTCTTTGTCTTTTACTTAATGAACTTTAGATTTTTTACGCATAAATTTTTTTTTTTTTTTTTTTTCAGGTTTGTTTGACCTAAACCGTGATGCAGAGAGCAGCGTCTCCCTCTACTGCCGCCGAGTCCTCATCATGAACAAAGCTGAAAATGTTCTTCCAAAGTGGCTGAGGTTCTTGAAGGGTATGTATTATAGATGATGTAAAATGTACTGTACTGTACCCATAGATAATTTGGTTAATATGTAGAGGGACTTATAATTTTTATAAGCCACTTACAGAAGGAATTTTATATGGCTGCTTGCTTCCTTACACCCAAGAAATTTGTTAGATCTCTGTGAGGGTTAATGTCTATTCATTACTCACTGGTACAGGACCTCCTCAGTTTAAAGATGCTGTGGTTGTGTGGGTAATTTTGTTTATTCCAACCCAGTAATGTGGATTTTCCCCTAATATTTAACTCAAAGATAGGAATGCCCATGAAAGTACCAGGCTGGCCCCTCTTGTGAAAGGACAGTGTGTTTGGTGAGGTTATTCTTGGATGCATAGGTGCTGCGGGTGTATCCTATTAACTCGGCAGCAAGACTCAAGTGAGTCACTTGATGAAATCTTTATAGAATATCGTGTAAATTTAGCAACGGTGTATTGAAGAAGAGGAAGAGCCCAACAGGACACATCGGGAAAGATTACACTATAACAGGAAAGTGAATGAAACAAAAATATATTTCTGGTATTTCACAGAAATTGAAGTTGATGAATGTGTGCAATTTTTCTGAAAGATGTTAATAGAATGTTTTATGAATAATATAAAGGTATTATGATTGTAGGCTAGTCTAAAAGAATATAATATTGTCTTATTCCTACACAATTACAAGCCTTTTCCTGCTGTGGTACTGAATGGCTGGAAAAGTGGTGATCTCTTAGTCTTATTATTCAGCTGCATTTTGTTTACATCTCTGCGTGAATCTTTATTGCCAGTCTTTCATCCTACTCATTTTTATTTGGCTGTAGGATCATAATTGCCTTTCATTTTAACTGATATGACTAATAGGTTTCTGTATTGAGGAAATAAAACCTGATAATCTTCCAGGTGTTGTGGACAGCGAGGACATTCCCTTGAATCTTAGTCGAGAATTACTTCAGGACTCGGCCCTCATTCGCAGACTACGCACCGTCATTCAGAATCGTGTTGTTCGCTTCCTCTTTGACAAATCACGTAAAGATGCCGAGAGCTACAGCAAGTTCTTTACTGATTATGGAATATTTATTAAAGAAGGTAAGTTTCTGCTGGGCTGATTTTGTAACACTCCAAGTTCCCCTCTTATGTCCTAACTTATCCAAACATATGTAGATCACACACCAGGTGAGGGAATCCTAAGAAATCAACAAAGCTGTTTGTTAATGCTAGAGGGAAGAACAGTTTAGTACAGTATTCATATATGGAAAGCCAGATGCTATACACTGATTAGTTGCATTCGAAATTAATTGATAATACCCAGACATATGGGTGTTGTTGATTACATTGTCTTGTGTATGTGCCAGCTGGCTTTCTGTGCATGAATATTAAACTTCTCTTTTCCTCTTGTGTTATTTCTCTTTCATCTTCTTTGATTTGTTTTGATTGTCTCACCTAAATTTTCCTGTGGTGTGTGGCCTATAAGATTGTAGGACTTGGGGGACTCAGTTTTAATAAACCCCAGCCTTACCAAGCCAGTAGGATTGGGCTGATTAAGACGGGACCCAAATCCCTACGCCTAGGATAGCTTAGGTTGGGTTTTGGCTCATTTAACCAATCAGCAACTTGGTACAGATAGCTAATACACCTCCATGCTTTTATAATATCTGAAAATTACGAAAAAATTCCTGGAGACTTATTTTGATCGTTCATTTAGAGGGACCTTCTGCTTACATAGCAAAAGCTGTAGAAAATTATTGTTAATAATATTTTGGTGTAAAGTAATGCCAATCACTTGGTAAAAAATTAGTATCTGGCACCTTTCTCAGCTAGCTAGCAGCAGGACGAGAGTCAGTTACCCATCAAAGAAGCCAGTGAGAGGTACGATTGCGAGTTGTTCTCGCACCACCTTTATCGGCCCGTATCTCAAAATGGTTTTTCTAACCTTCAAATCCCTTAGGCTTGGCTATTTATGGCCCAATTCTAATAAAACAAAAACTAAGCATAGTACAATAACATATTGTGCATCGTTGAACATATAGATTTTCTTTATATTTGGCTTGGTTTATTTTTTGCTGAATTATCTTGATAAATATTTGGAGGAAAAAATGGTAAGTTAGGAAAAATAATCTGTGCACCCAAAACGAAAGCGATAATTAGAAATATCTATGTCAGGTTCAAGAGGAGTAAATTGCCTATACAGTACAGTACTACACACGAATTTCAACGTAATCTAGCAAGAAATTATGGAGAAGTAGGATTTTGAAAATTTATAAGAATGTAAGGGAAAAATCAGGTATGAGGGATTAGGCAGAACCGATTCAGGGGTATAGTAACAATGTATCTGGTATCCATAATTGCTGACAGGAAATGATATTGATTGATCAGTTATTAAAGAATTCCATGCTTCCGCCGGACGCTCCATTTAGTATTATAGTTGTTGTGGGACTGCTGGGATTTATAAATCGGGATTTTTGTTTTGCAGGTATTCTGTCATCTCAGGAGCAGGTTGAGAAAGAAGAGATTGCCAAGCTAATCATGTATGATTCTTCGGCAAAACCCATCGGCGAAAAGGTGACGCTCCCGGAATACATTGGCCGCATGACTGATAACCAGAAAGATATTTATTACCTGGCAGCTCCTTCAAGGGAACTGGCAGAGTCTTCTCCATACTTTGAAGCTCTTAAGGTGGGTGGATATTTTAATAAATCTATTTTGTTACTTATTAAATAATCATGGAAAAGGGGTAATTACATTTACTTTTGCAATGGGTATATGTTTATTCTCACCTGTTCATTCTTTTGTCTGTATAACTGTCCCATCCAGGTTTGTTAAATGACTGTAAAAAAGTATCTAGCATCAGTCCTCCAAGGTTTTGTATCTCTGGGGACTCAGTTTTTAATTTCATTCATCCATCCTTGTCTCTACCTTCCCTTGGCCCTCCTACCCTCAACTTTGCCCATTAATATTTGTTATTATCCCCTCATCCTTAATTATATAACCAAAGTATCTCATTTGTCTTTTTCTGTACGTTTCAAATATTTCTCCTGAATTTTTTTGCTAATCTTAGTATTTCTTCATTTGTTTTCCTGTCAGTGTAGCTTATTCTTAACATTCACCTGTAACACTACATTTCAAAGGCCTCCAACCTCTTCCTGGTGTCTGCTGAAAGTGTCCCCACATCTGGCCCTTACATAGTCCTTGCCATATAAAGCCTTTTAGCAGCCTTTTTTTTTCAAATTGAAGTTAATGTCTCTTTTCATTAGGTCTTTTAGATTATTAAATGGCGTTTTTGCTTGCTCCATTATTGTTTTGATTTTTTCCATACATCTACCATCCCAGCTAATGTTACTTCCCAAATACTGTACACAAAATCTTCCACTTTCGTCTTTACAGCATTAGCTCTTAAACCTTATTTTTCACCTTTTCCCACTTATCTGTGAACCAGTTTTTGTAATGCCTGTTCACTATCTGTGATGAGACCAGTATCATCTGCATGGCTTATATTTGATATTACTTTACCATTTACTTTAAGTCCTTCATTATCACATAAGTTTTCATATTAAGAATTCTGAATATATATTATATAATGCTGGAGATAGAACACAGCCTTGTCTTACTCCCTATCTAACTGTGAACCAATTAGTAAGTTCATTATTTACTAACACTGCAGCCTCTTGTTGCTATTAAAGATTCTTTAAAATGTTTAAACTCCTTCATTAATGCTTATTTCTTCCAAGATCTCCAAGTTTAGTGTGCTTTACTTTATCAAAAGCTTTTTCAATATCAACAAAGCAGATGTACAAATTTCTTTGGACCTCTAAAGTCCTTTCACTCAAAATTCTCAAATCAAATACATCTTCTCCAGTTCCTTTTCCCTTTCTAAATCCATTTTGCTTTTCAGATAACTCACTTTCTATTCTAAACTCTTTTCTACTTAAAATTATGTTCAATAAAACTTTACTGACATGACATATTAAGATTATTCTTCTAAACTGGGTTCACTCTAAGGCTCCTGGCTTTTTAGATAATAACACAAATATTGTTTTGTTTTGTTTTTAATCAATGGGAAGGTCTTCTTTGGAGTACAGTAGACCCTCGCCATTCGCGAGGGATAGGTTCCAAGAAATGGCGTGAATTGGCAAAACAACGAAGAGCAACTTTTACTTCTTTTGTGCACTACTGTACTGTATACCTATACTGTGCTAAAAAACTGACCAGCCACCACAGCACTTATCCCTTCTTAACTTATCTAATAATAAAACTTTATTTGTCAGGGTCATCACTGACTTCTGCCTTTTACATTTTACTCCTCTAGCATCACTAGCACTGACACTAGGCAGTCTTTTAGGGGCCATTTCACACATAAACACTAAAGTTTTGAGAGTACACACGAGATGCCGCGTAGGGTGACTCGTGTTAGCAAAAGTATTAAAATTTTATACGATGTACTTTCCCACATACAGAAACGGAATGTGGAAGTATTATTCTGCTATGAGCCATATGATGAAGTAGTCCTGATGCAGCTGCAGGAATTTGGTAACAGAAAAATTATTTCAGTTGAGAAAGAAATGCGCCAGGATAAAGATGCTGTTGATTATGAAGGAGGTAAGTGAACGGTCTTTAATTATGTCATTGTTGGTGTTCGGTTGAATTTTGTAGCTTTTAAGTTTGACAATTGAGTAATTGGGTTGTTAGGTGCGAATATTGCTGTGGCATGTGATATAATTTTTATTTTTTATTTTTTTATCTGCCCTTACAGCTGAGGGTGGCCTACGCCGTTCTCAGGCAAATGAATTGATGGACTGGTTAAAAACTGTATTGAGTGGACGATGCTGGGGAGTGAAAGCCACCCCTCGCCTCGAATCCCATCCATGTGTCATCACCGTGGAGGAAATGGGGGCAGCCAGGCACTTCGTACGCACGCAGTTCACTCAGATCCCCGAAGAGACCAGATATTCACTTTTGCAGCCACAGTTGGAAATTAACCCAGGGTAAGGATTTCCATAGCCTGAATCAAGAAGACAAAGAGACTTTGTTGTTATGAGCTTTCTGACTGCCATAACAGTACAGTATAGCCAAGTGCTTCTTGAATCTTGACTATTGTTAATATTGTTGTATATATTTAGATTGAAAGAATTATGAGAAGTAGATTAAAAGAACAGCAAACAGCATTGAAAAACTATTTGCATACCATAGTTAAGTAATTTTGTGAATTGAGTTGAGATTTTACCAGAACTGGAGGATGATTACTGTATATTGTTAGTTTATACCTTAAAAAGAGACGAGGAGGATAGAAAAGCTCTTTGTTCCCCATGGTGTACAAAGGTTTCAGTTTTAAAATTATAATATTCAGCAAATTTAGAAGTTTAGGAATTACAAAGAGACCCAATTACCCAGCTTTACTGAGTTGTGGGACAGGAGGTAGTGTATAATCATTCCCTATGCCACCTGCACTTTCCTACCAAATTTTATCTCCTTTCTTTTAAAACTGGAAATGCATCTGATCTGGGGGATGGGATGTGTTGATTGGCTCCACTGCCCCTTGTGGAGGGACAGAAGATAGTGCATGACCATCCCATAAGCTACCCACACCTCCGTACTAAATTTAAGCTCTCTCTTTTCTAAGCTGTCATCCTCCAGGTAGGTGGGGGGGGGGGAGGGGGGTTGGCAGCCACCCTTCCTGGCAGGACACAAGATAGTGTGCAAATAAATCACTGTAGGTGTGTGTGTTCCATGTATATGCTGACAGCCCCAAGGTCACCTGCACTTCCTTGCCAAATTTCATTTCTCTTTTTTCAAAACTGTGGAAGTGTATGAAGAACATTCACACACACACACACACACACACACACACACAGAATGTATTACAGGTACTCCTCGACTTACGACTGCCGCACCAAAAAAAAATTCAAATTACGTATTTTCGAGTCTCAACGTTAGTGATTGCACTGCGTACCGACAAAAAAATTTTTGTAATTCCTTTTAAAATGGCCGGCAAGCATAAAAGTGAGAGTTTCGTGGTGCTGAGAAGAAAAAGAGACACCCATTTTAGATTTTCTATGTACTGTATTATTTTCGCATTTTCGATTTACAACCTGATCGTCGGTCCCTAACCCCGTCGTAAGTCGGGGTCTGACTGTATGTAGGTGGTAGGAGACTTCCATGTTAATAAATTTCGCTGCTAATGTCTAAGCTATCAAAATACTGATTTCAGCAAAGGAATTGTTCTGTACAAAGGGGAAGTATTGAAGTACTGTGCAGTATTACAAAAGCTACTATGAAATGGTAGTTTCTTGAGTCAATCTCCTCTATTTATGGCACAAGGATGGGATATATTAGGTTAGCTGTCAGTAAACTTTGTTCCCTCTGTAAAATGTATACAATATACCTTTATAGTACACGGGGGGGGGCAAATTCGCAGGGGTTAGGTTCTCAAAATGGCCACGAATTGACAAATCCGCGAATAACATTTGGGGGGTATTTTACTTGTGTACAAAGAAATGTATATTCCCTTTGTGTTTGCCCTAAGAACAATTATTTCTTTTACCTGAAGTATTGTATTGTGTGTAGACACATACAAATAAATAATAATTGGAAAATCCTCTCGCAAATAATCAGAAACAATTTTATTAAAAATGTGAGTCTACCCTCAAGTCCATGCTCTATTAATAAAGTGCTGTAATAGAGAACGGACTTGAGGGTAGACTGCCACATTTTTAATAAATTTGTTTCTGATTATTTGTGAGAGGATTTTCCAATTATTATTTATTTGTATGTTTTGTGTGTATGTATCTACACACATACACATATTTACAATACCGGTAAAGGAAATTGCTGTGTCTAGAACGGATGGCTCGCTGTCCCAGCCTCGAAAATGCCGGCAACCTTGGGTGTATCCAGGGTGTCATCTGCGAATAACCGGAAAATGGGAAGTAAAACTCCACGAACTTGGGGGCCCCCTGTACAGTACAGTATATTGTTTCTTCATTCCTTGAGCAATCATGAACTGATCAATAATTTAATTAGTACAGATGGTAGATTAGGATTGATAAAATGGGGGTATTAGAGAGATTTGATGTCTAGAGCTATTTTTGTTTGTTGGATGTTGATATAAATTATACCATTTAAAGCATTATGCACGGAATGTAAAAGAAATTATGCATTAGGAATTCTTTTTGCTATTACTCACTCTGTTTGATGATAACTCTAGGCAAGGAAGTTATCTTAGTCCAGGGATTTAGCCTGACAGTTATTACTTCTTACCTCTTTGTACATAAAAAAACAAAAAATATTAATAATATAATTATAATAATAATGCCCTGCCATCCCAGTCTGGGCTGTGTGTCAAATATTGATCTCTTTAGCTGTGAGTCAGGAACATTACAACTTACTATTGCAGTCCATGAGATAAGTTGTAGAAAACTATCGTTTGAAGTGAATTTTGCTTGAACTTTTGAGCGGGAAAAATTATTGTCTGTTGAACTTATGAGTTATTGTATAGTGTGTTGTTCTTTATATGAAGAATTTTGATCAATGCATAATAGGAAAATGTCTTCTTCCCAGCCACCCGATCATCATGAAGTTGAACGAACTACGGGAGAGTAATCCTCGACTAGCTGAACTTACTGCCAAACAGGTAGGTGAAAAGATGAGTTTTATGCAATTGAGGTATAGTTTTGAGAAAAATTATTAGAAAAAATACTAAGCCTGTTCGAATACCCTGTAATGGTATTGTAATTGTCATCTTTGACAATGTGTGTAGTACGGTATTGACTTTTATATTCCAAGATACTTGGGGTCAAGTTATTTTGTTTTTATGCTTGTTATCAGTTACCATATTTATCAGGTAAAATTTATCCTCATCTAAGCATGTGAAAGTACTGTCATACAAAGAAAATACTGTATATTTCATAACTAGCAATGCTTGTAAACTAACTTTTTTTTATTTTCCTTCAGTTATTCAGCAATGCCATGGTACTAGCAGGTTTGGTAGAAGATCCACGCACAGTCCTTTCTTCTATGAATGAGCTTTTACAGTTGGCTTTAGAGAAGCACTGAGTATACTGTATTGTGGTGTCATTGTTTCCTCTGCAACACTGCATGTGACAATTGGAATACTTGGAAGAAGTACTGTGTTGTGTCAGGTACTGAATGATATGTGTACAGTATTGAGGGTCATCTGCAGTATACTTAGATAATTTGCATATGGTTATGTTTAAATAAAGTGTACAGTTATATATAGTAAGAGTCGGTATGATGTAATTGGTGCCGTTATATAAAGTAGGCACTGACCTGTTGGTCTCATAATTCTAATACTGTATTGGTAACTTACAAGGGTTTAATGCTAGGGTGGTACAATGCATCTAGTGTAGTTTTCAGCTACCTCAGCTGGCTAACCCTCGTGGTGAACAGAGAAGCACCCTTGCATAAGTCTTCCCCTGCCAATACACAGCCTCTTCACCATCAAGCAGAGCCATAGATAGAGAGAGTTTGGCCAATCGGGGGCCACGTTGCCACTCGGCGGGTGGGAAGTCTTTTTGCTGGCCGTATCCCACATAGTTTATAAATATTCTTGTCCAATTTTAAACATGTATGACAATCTTGCTGAAAAAAAATCATCATCATACTGTACAGTACGAGCACAAACGTCTTCGTCGGTTTGATAACAACACGGCGCCCGCACGTCACCGAGTTGACCGAACTCTCACTCTCTAGGGCTTTGCCATCAAGACTCCTGCTGCACATCCTCATGGCAATACACTGTAACTGGGTATTTTGTGGCGCCAGGTTATACCAGCAGGGATCTCGGAGTAGCATTGTGCCTCAGAGGGACGTCGCGTAGGCCCACTGGATATGCCCCGGCGCCTACCATTGCCTTAACGAAAAATCTGTGGTGGAGCCCCTCATCAGGTAGACATATTTACAGTACACCAGTAAGACCACCCCCTTCAACAGTGAAATAGACGGAAAAAGTGACAAACACGGGAACCCGACGACTACACCCAGTCGTTGCACCTACTTGCACCACTGGATCAAGAAAAGGGAGAGCCAAGATGAGTGGCTGCAGCCTGCATTCCTGCCTCGCCACATAAATCAACTCGTGAGTAGCCATCCTTCAGTTCCTCGTACTTTTCATTATCACGAAAACTCCTAATCCTCCAAAAGTTCTATGGCGACAGGCGAGTTGCGACGGGGACAGGCAGAGATGACTGTCGGGAGTCTCTAGTCCTCAACTCTGCACATGGGCGGCATAGATAAGATGGTCGTTTATGCACTGGGATCTAGGCAGCAGTGCAATCCAGTCCTGTCAGTGCAATTGAGCAGCCCTTTCCATGAGCCTCTCTGCTCATCCCACATGGGGGCTTGAAAAGGGTGCCCTAAACATAGCCTGCTTATAAAGAAAACCTGACTGGTCAACTTCACCCAGTAAGGTCATCCTAATGTGGTCGAAAATATAATCACAGCTCAAAGCAAAAACAAACTATGCAACTTACGGTCACTGCATGGAATGTCGGGACCCTTCTGGATACTAACACAAATGAGCATTCCGAAAGAAGAACCACCCTTGTGGCAAAAGAGCTGTCGAGGTATAACATAGATATAGCAGCCATTAACGAGTCATGGCTCCCAAAAGAGGGTCGACTCACAGAACAAGGGTTCAGTTATACTGTACCTTGTGGAAGCCTGTTGCAGAGAGAAACTGCATTTATGGAGTTGGCTTTGCCACTCGCCAATCTATCCTACACAGACTAACCGAAATGCCCGTTGGGGTCAACGAGTGCCTCGTGACACTACGAGTACCACTAAATCTCACGGTCGCAAGACCATGCGGTCAGACACTAATACAGTGGTATTCATGTCTCGCAGGATACGCTATGACTTGTGATATGGAGACATTGATAGGAGTTGAGGACAATGAGATTTTGCACCCACCAAAGTGTGGGTAGCATACAAGAATTATATGTAAATTATTTTCTATGAGTAGGTGGTGACATACAACATAGGTTATTGGCTCTTCCTGTGGTAGGAGGTCCTTGACAGTGGGACAGTCAAGGCAATTGTGTTGAAGGGTTTACAAGAAGAGAAGTTCAGGACATCACCCGCCTCGATACTCGCCAGATATATCCGCAGACCACAAGTCCACGTCGACGATACTTGTGTGGATTCGGAAGAAAGATCATAATGTTGTATGGATTTACTCTCAGCCCATTCACTCTCCCTGTGATGGATTGTAGGGAGAAGAGCAGCTGAATGTACTGTATTCTCTTTCGGTAGCAGAGGAGGGAGGGTGTAGCCCCAGCAGCAGGGAGGGCCAGTCCACAGGCATTCTTCGCGAGACGGTCAACAGTGTCATTGGTTGTTATTCTAATAGTAGATGGAACCCACAAAAATGTATCACATGAAAATTATCATGGGCTAAAGCTAATAGACATAGCAACTGTTGAATTAAAGGAAGGCAGATCGAGTCACAAATGATTATATCGTTCAATCTCCTCCGGAGGAGGACATCAACTGCATCCAAGAGTCACGTAATTCACTGTAGGTCGAGCTCTGCCAGTTCGGAAGTCAACGGCCGACCCAACCTCCCGCCTGTGGGTCCACATCCAGTGAGAGA